GTATAGTAAAATATGTTTGACACAATGTGCAAAGTTGTACATTTTCAGCAGTTCTGTAGGTCGTTATGTTGGAAGGGATTTTGGCAAAATATGGAATGTTTTCAGTCTGTATTTTTATATTGTTAGGCACGATTATTATAGTCTTCTTGGTAATCCAGTATATGAAAGCTTGAAAAATAATGACACATTAGGTACTTGATAAAAGATGGGGAGCTGAGAAAATAGGCAGTTCTATATTCTTTCCTATTATTTCTTTTCACATTGGTTTAGATTTTTTCTATGTAGAATTAACTTCTTTGAAATAATTACTAAAAAATCTTTAAGATATACAAAAATATATAACCATTATCCAGCTTAAGAGATAAAATATTATCAGCAGAGATGAAGTCCCCTGCATATCCATTCTGTATTATTACCTTTTCCTCCATCCTCTTTAGTGGTACCCACACTTTTGAAATTGATATTTACCATGCATTCCCTTCGACCTTTTCTACTTCTATATATCCCTGTAAATAAAAGACATATACAGCCTATAAACATTTTTGCTTATGCACTTAACATTGTGAGATTTAACTATGTTGATAGATATCTCTAGTTCATTTATTTTTGCCGTAAAATTGGTACACAATTGTATAAAATTTTATATCAATTTTATGGCAAAAATAAATCAAAATCACTCTTTCTACAGTAAAAAAATTAGTTTTTTCTCCAATATCTTGAAGTTACATCAGTTCCATTCTGAATATCTTTGTAAGTTTTTTACTTGCACCTGTGTGATTTTAGATATATATCTTCAAGTTTGCTAGACATTATCAAATTGATCTCCAAAGCAGCTGTGCTGATTTGCCATCTCACTGTCATTCTCTCTATCCTCTTTGGAATTGACCAGTTTATTAAAGTTTTGCCATTTGGGGATTATAAGATAGTAGTCTGTTGTGGTTTCAGTGCTAATTTTTCTGAATACTAATATTGGTGAACATCTCTTGTTTAGTTCTTTTCTGTGAATTTTTCTGTCTTGCCCAATTTTATATTGAGATGTTTTTCTTCTTGATATGTACAAGCTTCCTGTTTGTTCATTTATGTGATTCTGGATTCTTATTCTTACCATGTGTGTTGCAAATATTTACTGTTATGAGGCTTTGCTCATCTATTTTATACTGTCTTGATGAACAAGTTTTACATTTTAATAGAGTCAAGCCTATCAACAATTGTGACTTATGTTTTGATAACTATATATTCCCATATTACATTGTATCTCAGGAACAATTCCAGGAAGACTAAAAACCTAGAGGCAAAAACCAAAAAGTTATAGATTTAAGAGGAGAAAAAGAGAATCTAATATAATAATAATTGAGTTATTTATTCTATTTTTTTCTATAAATTTTCTTGAATTTCTACCTCGACAATATTTTGTCTGGAAATAATGGATTATTTGGCTTCATTGTGTTCAGTTTTGTATATTTTTTTTCTTGTTCTCTTGAATTGTTAGGCCCTCCAATGTATTTTTAAATTATAAGCAATCATAGTGATGGGTCACTTAGGTTTTTTTTCCTGATTTTACAAGGAATCCTTTTCATATGTTACATTTAGTAAGATATTTCTTGTACAGTTTTGGTGGGTATCCGCTATCAAACTGAGGAAGTTGCTTTTCATTCCAAGTTGGCTAAAAATTTCATTCTAATAGCTGATGAATTCAAATGATTATATGGTATACTTTTTAAAATAAGTTTTTCTTATGAATTACACAAGTAGATTTTCTATCATTGAAGGATCTCCTTATTTCTGGAGGGAACACCACCTGGTCATTATTCATTTAATATGTTACTGATTTCTGTTATTAATCCTTTATGTGCTTTTCCTTTTAGGCTTTTGCATTTATGTTCATGGATATGACTGGGCTGTAGTTATCCTTATGCTTCACGTTTGCTTTTGGTATAAAGTACTTTCTTTGTTTCTTCCCTTCTCTCTCTTTTAGTGTTAACAAGCATTGGGAGTTGGAGGAGGAGAGGGTTAGGGTGAGCAGAGCTTGATTGACTCTTAAGCAGTGTCTTCAGGATCTGACTTCTCTCTATCTCTGAATTCTATTCACTCCTCCTCTTCATGTTGGCAAAAGAGCCTGTATAGCTATTATATAAAAAGTAACATATCTTTCCATCTTTTATGTACATTATCCATCAGTTACTCTGGGTGCTCTTAAAATATTCTGTTATGTACTATCTCCCTTAATTTTACCTTGTGATTCTTTAAACTTTTCTTGTATATATTTTGAGTCTTTATTATTAGGTGTATATCAAGTTTGAGCTGCAATATCTTGAGACTTTAATCATCATGTACCGACTCTATGTCTCTCTAATAATGAATTTTTACTTAAAGTCTATTTGTCTGATATTAATATGGCTTTTATTTTCTTTTATTGTTTTGAGATGGAGTATCACTCTGTCACCCAGGCTGGAGTGCAGTGGCATAATCTCGGCTCACTGCAACCTCCACCTCCTGGGTTCAAGAGCTTCTCCTACTTCAACCCCCTGAGTAGCTGGGACTCCAGCCACAAACCACCACACCTAGATAATTTTTGTATTTTTAGTAGAGACAGGGTTTCACCATGTTGGCCAGGCTGGTCTTGAACTCCTCACCTCGAGTGATCTGCCTGCCTCCCAAAGTGCTGGGATTACAGGCATGAGCCACTGCCCCCAGCTGGCATTCTTTTTACATATTTGTTTTCCACTTTACTTTCAGGGTTTTTGTGAGTTTAAGTTTAGGATGTGTAAACTACAAGAAACATTTAGTTAGACTTACTTCTTTAAATGTAATCTATCTTTGTCTTTCAAATATTTAAACCATGTAATAGTTGACACGACACATTCTTTCTAAGGTCTCATTTTGTGCTTTCTCTTCATTCTGTTTATGTGCTAGTCCCCACCCCCACTCCTTCATAAACTTGTCTTTTTTCTTAATTTTTTGGATCGAGGATTTCCATACTCCCCCCAACTCCGACAATTTTCCTTCAGTACTGTTTTGGTAGTTACACATTCTATGTTATTTTGTCAGTTTCCCTTAAATTTTTAATTCTCATATCCAACTTAAAGGGGCATTTTGTGTCCTGGGCCTAATTTCTTTGTGTGCCCTAATTCTACTCATGCCATCATTTTCCATAGTTTCTTTCTAAATCTATTTTCCTAGATTTTATATACTTTGTTTTCTCTTATTATGTGGGTCTTGCTCCATGTCTCTTCCCACCTCTTGCAATGACTCAGCTCTACTGTGGAAGCTGGCGTTTTTGACTTGGCCAACAAAGACTGTTTGCATTCCTTGCTCTTTTGGCCACTCTGATCTTTGTCCTTTCCAGTTTAATGGAAAAATTATTAAACTCCGGGCTGTATACAAAAACCGTTATGCTTAACACCCTCCCTTTCAACACTTTTTTCTTTTTATGCTGAGGTTTCATCTGAGTGGATTTTACAAGAACAAAGACAAAACTGTGGATTGAGGTTGAGTTCACAGTGAAACCTGATCTTACAGCAATGTAAACGACATATGGACATCATTGTTTATCCCTCATATTGGCTATTAGTGTAAAAAATAGCATTTGATTAAGTTTCATTGTTCGTATAACTAAGCAAAGCATTTTTTCTTACCATTTGCAAGGCTGTATTCTCCTGAAAATGTGCTTAGAGATACTCAACCCAGAGTACAGAAAAAAAAGAAATGGATAGTAAGAGAACTAAGTTATGTTCTTGCCTTTTCAATAGCTGAGTAACGTTTGGCAGGTCACTTTACCTCGGAGAAGCTTTACCACTCTGGGCCAAAGGTAATTTATCTGTAAAATGATCTGGCAGGAGGTATTAGTTATCTATTGCTGTGTAATAAATTATGCCAACATTTAATGGCCTAATAGGACAAATATTTTCTCACAGCTTCTGTAGTCAGACATCTGACCGTGGCTTAGCTAGATGCCTCTGGCTCGGTGTCTCTTGGAAGGCTGTAGTCAAGGTGTCTTCCAGGACTATGGGATGATTGTTTTCAAGCTCACTCATGCAATTGTTGGCAGGATTCAGCTCTTCAGGTATTGTTGGACTGAGAACCTCAGTTCCTTGTGGGCTGCTAGCTAGAGACCTCCCTCAGTTCCTTGCCATGTGAGCCCCTCCACAGTATGACAACTTGCCTCTCCCAGAACGAGGACTCCAACAGTGAAAGTGAAAGAGAGCAAGCAAGACAGAAGCTTAAATCTTTCTGTGATCTAATCTTGAAAGCAACATCTTGTTATTTTCTCTGGTTTCTATTACTTGCAAATCACTTGATTCAGCGCACACTCAAGTGGAGAGAGTTCTTTGTTCTTTTTTGTATTTAACCTGGTTGCTTCTCCCAAATTAGTTGGTGTGAGAAAGAAACTATCTTCATTTTGGCCTCCACTTGATTCAGTCATTAATTATGTTAGAAGGCACATACCTTTCTTAAGTAAGAATCTATTTGGGTGTCAAGAAGGATTACTTTCTGCCTCTGGAGGAGTTGAGGGACTGTATACATGTCATATATCTCACATATGTATAATCTACATAAATGTAAGGCATATATTTAAAAGTCGAAACAACATTAGTTTAATGTGAAAGCTTCAGAATAGAATTGATTGCAAAGTCTTATTTTTATTTTTAAAAGTCAAAGCAAATATAAATGAAGCTCCATTTGTAATTTTGGATTACTGGTGATATAACTATACTATTGTTTAGACTATTTAAATATATTTGTGAGTTTTTTTGTGATAAAAGATACAAAATGCATTTTGCTTCCCATACTGTTACATAGGAAGGACACTGGTCAGAAAAATTGGTTATAGGTAGAAGCTCTGCCATTTCTTGGTATATGGCACAATTTATCTAAATATCAGTTGCCTTATTTGTAAATGAAGTTCTTGATACCATAGTCTCAAATTAGATGTTTTATGCTTTATAAATGATCGTGTTCTACAACTAAATGGAGCTTCTTTGACTAACCTGTTGTTTCAGGCCACATGTGACCAACGTGGCTGTTGCTGGAATCCCCAGGGAGCTGTAAGTGTTCCCTGGTGCTACTATTCCAAGAATCATAGCTACCACATGGAGGGCGACCTTGTAAACACAAATGCAGGTAAGCCAGAGTCTGCCATGATGCAGGAGGTCCAGACCCTCTGGAGGTTGACTCTGTATCCCCCAGAGGAGAGCTGGGGCAGCCTGCAGAGTTCTGCTCTGTGGGGCCACATAACCACATATGACAGAAGGTAGGCACTGCTCTTAATCAAGGACTAGAATCTATGTGGGCACCAAGGAAAAATTATTCTCTGCCTTGGGAGTTGAGGGGCCATGTCCTCTTTCCAGCTTCCCCATTTTGGACCTTCATGACTGTGCAATAATCATTTATCATTTTTGTTTTCAAGTTTATCCCTTTTAAAATGAGGGATCTGAAATCAGTAACCTCTCAGACTACTTCCAACTCTAATTTTATGCTATTTTTATGAAATGGAAATAACTCCAATTTTATAAACATGTTGTGAAAGTCAACATAAGTGTTCATGGAGTGAGTAGCCCCTCTTCTTCCTCTTACTCTAAAATGCAGAGCATAGGCTGGGCACAGTGACTCACACCTGTAATCCCAGCACTTTGGGAGGCCGAGATGGATGGATCATGTGAGGTCAGGAGTTTGAGACCAGCCTGGCCAACACGGCAAAACCCTATCTCTACTAAAAATACAAAAATTAGCCGGGTGTAGTGGCATGCGCCTGTAGTCCTGGCTACTCAGGAGGCTGAGGCAGGAGAATCGCTTGAACCCAGGAGGCAGAGGTTGCAGTGAGCTGAGATCATGACATTCACTCCAGCCTGGGTGACAGAGCTAGACTCCATCCAGCCACCGCCCCCCAGCCCAAAAAAAATGCAGACCGTAATGATGACCATTCTAGGTGATAGCAGAAGGTGATGCTTTAGGGAGTCTCTCAGTAGAAAGGAAGAGGCATGTTCCCCTTTCAGATGCTCTGGGCCTAATGGACTGTTCCAATAAGGTCTCAACTTTCACCTGGTTTACCATTTAATTAGGGAGATATAATCACCTGTAATGCAATATGAAAATAACCGAGAAGGAATTATGTATATGTGTGTCAGGTCTGAGAATGTAAAGGGAATCTGATTAACACCAAATGACTGACGGGCTTGTGGAATGAGTGTTAGGCTTATTGGGGGAGGTTTTCAATCAGATTTTGTAGAAGAGAGACAGATTTTTATATAATGTAATGATGATATCTAGCGCCATAATCTGCCATAGATAGTATGTGCATATGATGGGGTATATGTCTGTCTTTTCCCTTCTTTTGAGAAATAAAGGCTTTTCATCAATCCCTTTGACATGTATCCTAATCTTTTTTTTTTTTTTTTTTGAGACGGAGTCTCACTCTGTTATGCGGGCTGGAGTGCAGTGGCATGATCTCGGCTCACTGCAACCTCTGCCTCCTGGGTTGAAGCAATTCTCCTGCCTCAGCCTCTAGAGTACCTGGGATTACAGGCGTGCACCACCATTCCCCACTAATTTTTGTATTTTTAGTAAAGACGGGGTTTCACCATGTTGGTCAGGCTGGTCTCGAACTCCTGACCTGGTGATCCACCCGCCTTGGCCTCCCAAAGTGCTGGGTTTACGGGTGTGAGCCACCGCACCCAGCCCCATCTATCCTAATTTTTATGTAGGTATTATTTGAGAATTTGCAGAGTCAACTATGAAAACCTAGTTTTTTTCCTCCTGTGTTAGGATTCACAGCCCGGTTGAAAAATCTGCCTTCTTCACCCATGTTCGGAAGCAATGTTGACAACGTTCTTCTCACAGCAGAGTATCAGACATCTAATCGTTTCCACTTTAAGGTTGTAATTTGTTAATTTTTTTAAAGTTTTTTTTGAGAGACTTTTGTTCCCTATCCGATGACTGCAGTTACTACAAAATAGAAAAATTTGCTACTGGAGGTATTTTTCTCTACTGTCATTATTAATTGGCACCTGTATGTTAAAGACATATACGGAATAGTCTTCATTTAGTGTGATAGCTTCCTGAATATGTATTACAGTTTACTAGTGAGTTTGGCTTTCATTTATTTACTCTAGATAACATGTGAAATGTGGTAGGAAGATAAAATAAGGGAGATCACAGCTTTCAATCCATCTTTGCAGATGTGCTGTGTATGTCTCTACCTAAAGACTAACTTATGCCCAAAGGTGAACCCTTTGAATTTGGTAACATAATGAGTACATCTACCTTAGATGTGAGGTCAGTTTGATCAGTACCTGATTCCAGTATCGTAAGTAGGGATTTTGGGAAGCTCCGACAAGTTTTTATTTTGGCTTTCCTTCTATTTCTATCTCTGCACAGTTGACCGACCAAACCAATAACAGGTTTGAAGTACCCCACGAACATGTTCAGTCCTTCAGTGGATATGCTGCTTCTTCTTTGACCTACCGAGTTGAAATCTCCAGAGAGCCATTTAGCATCAAAGTGACCAGAAGAAGCAACAATCGTGTTTTGTAAGTTTTGGAAACCTATCGAAGGATCAGAGTAAGAAGGTTACAGGGAGGTCTGTAAGCATGGAGAAGGGGGTGTTTCAACAATATTCCTGCAGGTTGTGAGACAATTATTAGTGACCAGACCCTTTACCTTCAAAGTATATATTGTTTTCTGACTTTCTTTCTCTTTCTTCTGTTTGCACAATCATTTTTTTTCTCTTTAGTTTTCCCTTTATTTCCCTCCATCTATAATATATAATCAGCTGTCCACCAGTAAATATTTACTGAACATCTCCTATTGTAAGTATAGTGTTCTGGTCATGTGGTAGGCTGTCTGGTCTGGGAGTAAGAAATTTGCACATGGTCCCTTTCTTCAAGGAGTCCTAATCTTTTGTTGTCCATAGAAAAATGTCACAGGATGGCAAATGGGACTGAATGAATGGGGGCTATTGAGTCATTGAGATATAAAGGATGCTTTTCCAAGCACTTATGTTCTCTCCACACCGCTTGCTCACCCATCCTTGTGTTCTCCACCTGTGTCTAGGTTTGACTCAAGCATTGGGCCCCTCCTGTTTGCCGACCAGTTCTTGCAGCTCTCCACCCGACTGCCTAGTGCTAACGTGTATGGCCTGGGAGAGCATGTGCACCAGCAGTACCGGCATGATATGAATTGGAAGACTTGGCCCATATTTAACAGGGACACAACTCCCAATGGAGTAAGCTTTCAGATGGGTCCCTTTCCACTGAATATCATAGTCTCATTCTTGAAGGTCACCTCTAGTATTACAGTGTAGTGTTTAAGAGTAAGAGTCTAGAGTGAGACTACCTGGCTTTGAATTCTAGTCTTGCTACTCACCAGTTAGGTGGTTCTGGGTGTTACTTACCTCTCTGTCTTCAGTTTCTTATCTATAAAATGTAAGTAATGTCTCAATAGGGTAGTGGTGAGGATGAAATGAACTGATACATGTAAAGTATCTAGAAGAATGGCTGCCAGAAGGAAAGTGCTCAATAAATGCCAACTCCTTCATATTTTTCCTAACCAGATATGGAGAAGATCTTATTAATATTTGTACTCTGAACAACAGTTGATTGTGATCACCATACTTTTAGGTTCCCCTTTAATCACCGACTTACCAGGTTTATCAAAATAGGATAAAGTCTCAGTTAAAACAATCATTTTTTGTATAAAGAATGATTGTGGTAGTGAAAGAATAGACAGAGTTTTGTCGTTTTATTTCCACTTTTGTTTGTTTTGACTGCTAAAATTTGAAATAACTTTGTTTTCTGGATTTGGCAATACTCTGTTGTTCAGGGCTTTCTTTTTCTTTTCTTCTTCTCTCTTTTGTTGAGATGGGGTCTCACTGTTGCCCAGGCTGAAGTGCAGTGGTGCAACCATGACTCACTTTAGCCTCAACCTCCCTGGGCTCAGGTGACCCTCCCACCTCAGTGTCTGGAGTAGCTGAGACTAAAGGTGTGTGTCACCATGCCTGGCTAATTTTTTTTTGTATTTTTTTGTAGAGACTGGTTTTTGCCATTTTATTCAGGCTGATCTCAAACTCCTGGACTCAAGCAATCCTCTGACCTTGGTCTCCCCTAAGTGCTGGGTTTACAAATGTGAGCCACTGTGCCCGGCTGGACTTTCTTGACTAAGCAGAATTAATGGATGGATGAAAGGAGATTACAGCAATAATTTATTAGTCAAAAATTTATATATATGTACACACACACACATATATGTATATATATGTATATATACACACACATATATATGTGTGTGCATATATATAGATATATATATCTATTTAGCCATAGAGTCTAGAAAATATAATAATTTCTTGTTAGACAAAACTGAGGTCCAGAGAAGCCAAATTAACAGCTCAAGACAAAAGAGTTTGTAAGAACAAGAATGGCCTGACCCCGGGAGGCGGAGCTTGCAGTGAGCCGAGATCGCACCACTCCTCTCCAGCCTGGGCAACAGAGTGAGACTCCGTCTCAAAAAAAAAAAAAAAAAAAGAAAAGGACAGAAAAAAAAGAGTTCATAAGAACAGAGGAAGAATCTAATCCCTTCTCTGTGTAATTTTAAGCCCAGGCTCTGTACTGTACATATGCCTATCAGAAAAGTAGAAAAGCTGTTGAGTCAGAGCAACTTAACCTAGGAATAGTTGGTGACAATTGTTTCATTAAGGAGCCTCAGATCTTGCTACTCAAAGTGTGTATGTAGCAGGGGAACCACCATGTGAGAGAGGTGGGCTTTCAGCCCCTTCTTCCATCTGTTGAATTAAAATCTGCATTTAGGGCCAGGAGTAGTGGCTCACGCCTGTAATCCCAACACTTTGGGAGGCTGAGGCAGTTGGATCATTTGAGGTCAGGAGTTCAAGATCAACCTGGTGAAACCCCATCTCTACTAAAAATGCAAAAAAAACTAGCCGTGCATAGTGGCAGGTGCTTGTAGTCCCAGCTACTCAGGAGGCTGAGGCAGGAGAATGGTGTGAATCCGGAAGATGGAGCTTGCAGTGTGCTGAGATCGTGCCACTGCACTCCAGCCTGGGCAACAGAGCAAGACTCCGTCTCAAAAAAAAAAAAAAAAAATTAGCCAGGTGGTAGTGGCATGCACCTGTAATCCTAGCTACTCAGGAGGCTGAGGCAGGAGAATCGCTTGAGCCTGGGAGGTGAAGGTTGTGGTGAGCCAATATCATGCCAGTGCACTCCAGTCTGGGCAACAGAGTGAGACCCTGTCTGGAAAAAAAAAATCTGCATTTAGGTGCCCATGTAATTTGTGGATACACCAAAGTTTGAGAAACACTTTTCCAGAGCAATAGTTATCAAATGTGACTACATGTGGGAGTTATCTGGGGAAATTAAAAAATAACAGCTATGTCTGCTTCTATCTCCAGGGATTCTGTTTTAATTGGTCTGGCATGCAGTCTAGGTTGAGAACTCCTGTTCTGGAGTCTCGAAGACAAGCCTAGACTAGAGCTCCATCTAGCTACCTGATTCATATTAAGGCATATTGATGGAGCTTTTGCTGATGAGGTTAAGTCAGGTTAAGACAGGCCTCTTTGGGAGGGCAGCTTTTTTGAATTACGTTTTAAAAATTCCTATCCTCTTACCTTGTAAAAAACATCACAGCCTTCACATTCCTTCTGGATGAATGATCATAGCTGGCTCATTCTGTAAGAAAACACGAGTTCACTTGGTTAACATCAACTAGATATAGACCCCATCTTTTAAAAATGTGTCTTTATGACCATGAATTTCCTGTCAATTAGTTACATGATTAGGGCTGATTTCCTAAACCAACCGCACAGTGTGGTGCTGAGACTTCTTGGTTGTAAATTTTGGTTTTTAATTATCTTTCTGCAGAACGGAACTAATTTGTATGGTGCGCAGACATTCTTCCTGTGTCTCGAAGATGCTAGTGGATTGTCCTTTGGGGTGTTTCTGATGAACAGCAATGCCATGGGTAAAGGACTATTCATGGAAAAAACAAGTGCAAGAGTGATTTTCAGTCCCTTTCTTACAGCACTATGATAAAAGGAATGGATCCCTTTAAGAGTGACTGAGACATAGTGTAGGGAGGGCCATATAGATTATCTAATTGTGCTATCCCTACTTCATTACCTGTTGATCTATGGTAGCCATGAGTAGGGGATTTTCTCCTAGCTTATGATTTTCCTGAATCTGGTGGCCTCTGTTGGAATATTTTCTATTATCAAGTTGAGGGAGCTAACCCTTCCCTATAATTTACTCTGAGATAGTTTCCACCAATGTGTTCTTCTCCGTCTTCAGCCTTTTCGTCAGTAGATCCCAGTGGCAATGAATTGCCACAGGGGAAGAGAAGATGTATCAGAAGCTCCCAGGATTGATGGTGGACATAGGGTATTGATCGATACCTCTTCTCAATTGAGAGTCATTGATTCAATCAGTGCTCCTCAAAGTGTGGTCCCTGACTGTGTCACAGACTGTTTCAAGTCTATAGTAAGATGAGTACAGAAATGGCGAGTAAGCAGTGCTATAGCCTCCACATGCACACATGAACCTTTTTCTAGTAATTCATTTTCATGTTGTTTTATGAAAATATCAGCTTGCAGTGAAATGGAAATTAAACAAAATAAAGATCTGATTCTCTAACACAGATATCTGAGAAACACTCTAAATGATCTAAAATGATTCTAGGACATCTAAGAGATGAATCTAAGATGATTCTAATAGAATCTTAGATGATCCTAAGGTACTTGAAATGCCAAACAACCTAAGAATAGACTGAGATAATATAATACAAGGACTGTACAGTTTTAGATAGGTGAAAGGAACCAGAAAATAAGATGAGTCAGACTTAGTGGGAAAGGCCACAAGATCCTAGATGCTCTGTATGAGTTGTTCCTATGACCAAAGAGTACATTGCAATATTTCTTGAGGCATTTTATTCCTGGATACAAATCAGTGTAATGACACAACTTTTGAGAATGGTGATTGGCACATAGAGGGATTTTGAATTTATGGCACAATTTCTGACTTTTTTTTTTTGGTTTGGCTTTTGTTTGATGTGAGATTTACTGAGGATAGTTATGTCCATGTCTAGTTGAATTATATTCTCACAATAATGATGGGGTATGTGGTGGGACATGTTCTGTGGTTGTGAAAGTCAGAGAGGAAAACCTTTTCCTCTAACCTCTTAGGATTAATTCTCGGGAGCCTGCAAATTAAACTGGCAAAAAGGTAGACTAGCAATAGAAAAGACAGAATTTATTTACACATGTAGTGCGTATACACACAGGACTTCTCAGTGATGAGTAACTCAAAGCAGAGATTAGAACTTGGGGTTTCTATACCATCTTAATTAATAGGTGAAAGGGAAGGAGGAAAGACGCTTAGGAGAGAACAAATGACGTTTTGGAAAGATAAATGGGCCCTTAGAAGATAGGTGGGAGGATGAGACAGTCTTGTGACACTGTCTATCTGGGAATGGTGCCTGTTGTCTCAGAAAAGATTAGAGGTACTCCTTGGCGCAGATTTATGACCATTGCTTTTTATTGAGTTTTTTTGGGAGGCTATGCTTTTAGGCACATCAGGGATTTCAGTAACTTAAATGCCTTCGGTCCAAAATAATTTTTTTTTTATGTCACAGTGGCTTATTCTGGACCCCTTCATGAGCCTGGCTGCTTTTTCCCCAGAGCCTGGGGCCTGGCACAAGGCACTAAGACACTCCAGTCAGTATTATTAACAGCTGTCACAGAAAAAAATGCCTTGGCTGCCATGTGCTGTGAGGGTGGACTTGCATGGTCAGGGTTTGCCCCTTGGTATTCAAGATGTGAGACACTAGGGTCACTTTGTTCATGTTCACGTGGTTAGTGATCCTGTGTTATTTTAAAACTTGGTAGTTACTATTCAGTAATCAATTCTGATTTGTATTTTCTTCATTTAAACCTTTCAAGAGGTTGTCCTTCAGCCCGCGCCAGCCATCACTTACCGCACCACTGGGGGCATTCTCGACTTCTATGTGTTCTTGGGAAACACTCCAGAGCAAGTTGTTCAAGAATATCTAGAGGTAAACTTAGGATGTCAAGATTGTGACTGAGGAAATCTTAAACAGCAAATATTTTATAAAAGTAAATTTCATGTGCAAGTGTGACCCACAAAATCTGCTGTTACAAATTTCAGATATTAAAGAACAGATTTCATATATGCAATGGAAACTTGCTGTATAGCATTTTTATGTTATAAGAAGGGGAGAGAATATACAGATGCCCCAAACATGGCCCTACCCTCAAACATTTATGAAGGGTTGGAAAAATAGACTAACATTCTAACATGAATGAATCAGTGCGTTGGGAAATGGACTATGTTTGGTGCTCTGAAAGCAATGCTTCAAAAACTTTTTATTAAAAACAGAGTATTTGCTAATTTTCACTTCACATATTTCTTTCAGCTTATTGGGCGGCCAGCCCTTCCCTCCTACTGGGCACTTGGATTTCACCTCAGTCGTTATGAATATGGAACCTTAGACAACATGAGAGAAGTCTTGGAGAGAAATCGCGCAGCACAGCTCCCTTATGTAAGCAAGGTTTTCAATAGTTCTCCAAAAGTAAAGAAATTCCCTTGAAGAAAAAGAATTACTGTTTATATATTCTCTTCCTAAGTTTAATTGATTTATTTATTTGGTAATGAAAGGAATTTTAGATACTCAGAATACTAGACTTTTTTTGTTGGACCAATCATTTTTTGAAGGAACCATAGTTCTTTATAGTATGAAATAGACTAGGAGACCACAATTATGTGTTGGGAGGTAATCTGTTTTTGTCTCTATTTTTCTTATTGTGTATTTTATTAGTAAACATTTTTTGTGCTTACTGTATTGACTACATTTTACAGATGTTTTTATTTGAGTTTTCAAGGCATTTGTCTCTTCAGCTTGAATTGTAGCATTTTAATGCTTCTCAGTAGGGATTTTCTTGCCTTACATGTGTTCTTGGTTTGTTTTGACTCAAAAGTGTCATGGCAGGAACTTACCATAAAAGTTGTATCATAATTTTAGAAATTCCTCTAAGATTCTGGCATAAGATTTAATGTCTAAATTCTTAGTTTCTTAGGTTTAGTGTCAGGTCATGAATGATGCAGATTCCCAGTCTCCCTACCTATGTTTTAACAGATGTTTTAAAGAGGAATTGAGGAAGCGGAGTGGTTCTAGACCCCATGAATTTAGCTCAAAATAATTATATTACTGGAAGAACCATGAGCCATCTGGGCTAGCATCATTTTTTTCACAGATAGTAAACTGAGGCTGTCAGGGGAAATAACATGACCAAGACTGCATAGATAATTGATGACAGAACGAATACTCCATGACTACATGGATGTGAAAAATAATACAACAAGTTTCAGGTCCATGTGTTTTTACGTTGGTATTTTGATTACTATTAAATTGGGAGTAAGCAGAATTTGCCTTTCTCTGTAGTGTGGTCATTTCACAATTGAAATCAAGCTTCAGTAGACATTTTGTAATTTGGCAGAAAGAGAGTTCATAAATATGAAGTGTAAAAGAAAGTGCTTAACGGAATTGAGATTCAAAAAGCCTAGGAACACTGAGGAGATGGGGGAAGCAGAAAGTCAGGGCAGATGAAGATGTTTGGGTCAATGAATCCACTCTCAGCCTAGATGCGGGTCCCACTACTTATTCTCCAGCACAACGTGGCTTTATACATGTAGGGGAGCTGAGGCAGGCAGATCACGAGGTGAGGAGTTCAAGCCCAGCCTGGCCAACACAGTGAAACCCCGTCTCTACTAAAAATAAAAATAAAAAAAAAAAAAAGAAAAAAGATTAGCTGGGCAGGGTGGCAGGTGCCTATAATCCCAGCTGTTCGGGAAGCTGAGACACAAGAATCACTTGAACCCGGGAGGTGGAGGTTGCAGTAAGCCGATATCGTGCCACTGTACTCCAGCCTGGGTGACAGAGCTGGACTCAGTCTTGAGGAAAAACAAACAAACAAACAAACAAAAAAACCCCATAAAACTCCATTTAAGATTAGAAATCTCATTTAATATTAGAAAACCAGAGGAACTAGTTTTCAAGTCCAGATCTCTAACATCATAGTGGCCATCTCTCTTTTTATGCCATTTTCCTTACATGTAGATAGACATTTTCTTTTTAAGCGATCCAGGAAATGAAAGAATTGGACTATTACTGCTGCCTAGTGGTGTGAGATGTGAAAGGGAGTATTTAGACAGGGAATTGAACACTATTACCTGAGTTCAGTATACATGTTAAAATCTGTCACTTTAAGTGAACAAAAAGGTATAGTATGGACATGTAATAAAATACTTTTGTACTTTGAATGGCTAACTTTGAATGTACCTGTGATATTGGGTACTACTGGGTGTGAAATTTAACAAGAGATGCACAGGGAAAAGCTCAGTAGTCTCTAGAATAATCCTCTTCTCTCCCCTGCTCTATGCCCTTGGAGACAAACCTAGGTTGCAGAGAAGGGTACATTTTATTCTGGGCTTCACTATGTTTATACAGGTAAAGTTGGGATAGCATAAACAGCAAAGATGTGGGGTAGAAGTGAAGTAACAAAATAAAACGTGGGGTAATAAAATGAGGGAGATGTGGGAGACAATATCTTCCCTTCTTTATCTTGTGAATAAGGTGAAATTTAGGTCATTTCTTAGGTGGATATGTCTGATCGTCTTAGGGGTTTGTCATAATTAGTGTTGTTTGCTTGATTGGTTTTTAATGCCAGAGTGCCAGGCAAGGATAGGATGATGCAGTTAACCTGATGGCAGGGATGAGGCCAAGCCCTAGGGAACCAACTGGTCATGTGTTTTTGAAATCACCATTGGAAAAGAGGCACTCAGGTTCCAAGAACTGATTAAGAACTCTGTTTAGAGCCCAGAACAGAGTTGTTGTTTATCCTGAATAATCACAGTGAAAATTTGATTTCGTTTTACCATGGAAATTCCTAGGCGCTAATTGTGGACTTTATATATTCTTTCAGGATGTTCAGCATGCTGATATTGATTATATGGATGAGAGAAGGGACTTCACTTATGATCCAGTGAATTTTAAAGGCTTCCCTGAATTTGTCAATGACTTACACAAAAATGGACAGAAGCTTGTCATCATTGTGGTACGTACTGCCCTCTTTCCTCCAAATTAGGCATTTGCTCCTCCGTTTCATACACCCATCTCCTTTGCTTTCTCCCCAGGTTCCCAGTCTCCTTTCAGTGCCTCCAGCTTCCAGCTGGTTTCTTCATTGTATTCTTCCTCTTTTTAGGATCCAGCCATCTCCAACAACTCTTCCTCAAGTAAACCCTATGGCCCATATGACAGGGGTTCAGATATGAAGATATGGGTGAATAGTTCAGATGGCGTGACTCCACTCATCGGGGAGGTAACTGAATGGGAAGGCTGGTGGCTGGTAGAGGGGCTGCATAGGGGTGTGTGAATGTGTGTGTGTTTGTGCCTGTAATTGTAATTGTTTTATTGTACATTTTCAGTATATTTATATATTCTGGGAATAAATTCTCCTCTGCCCTTTCGTGCCCAAGTGCATGCCGGCCATCCTAGATTTTTGATTCCTTTCACAGCCAAGTCCCTTTAAACAACAGCTCACACACTGAGTGTCCACTTTCTCACCTCCCACACACTCTGCAGCTGACTGTGGTCTCCTTTCTTCCCCCATCACTTCCCTGACACTGCTCTGGCAAAAAGCACCCATTACTTTCTCATTGGTAAGTCCAACGGAACTGTTTCATGCCTCTTCTTACTCAATTTTCCTGCAGTATTTGACAAGTGTACCCACTTCTTTCTCAAATGTTTGTTTGTCCTTGTTTTTTCAGGAAGGTGTCATCTGCTTGTTCACTTCTAAGGTCTCTGATGACCTTTTCAGAGTATAGTGTCTGGGGGAAATTGGACAGGAAAGAAAGAGAAAAATGAATGATGTTAGAATCCACAGTTTATAATGGACTAGCTGCAATTTACACAGTGTTCTTCCCCCATTTACTATTCCCAGAATTAAGAACAAAAAAAGTGTAGAGAGTTAAAGATGACTAAGTTAGACAATGCCTTTATCCACAAATTTATTCATTAACGACTTAAACATTTTTTGAAATGCATTTTCTTCAAGTGACCCTGGCATTTATTTTAAATATTCTGAGCACTGTACCTTCCTAACTAAATAGGATGTGTTCCTTGGTACCTCGGTTGCTGTGATCATGTTAGGAATTTCTTTGCAAAGTACTTTATTTTATTCTATATTTGTTTAATTTACTCTTATCAGTGTTTTTCTTTTTCTCCTGAAGGTCTGGCCTGGACAAACTGTGTTTCCTGATTATACCAATCCCAACTGTGCTGTTTGGTGGACAAAGGAATTTGAACTTTTTCATAATCAAGTGGAGTTTGATGGAATCTGGATTGTGAGTTGTTTACACTTGGATTATTGGGTGACAAATATTCAGATTGTGTGTATCTGTATCTGTATCTTTGAGTCACAGAGCATAGGGAGAGGAGGAGGAGGAGAAGAAAGGAAGTATGGCAATCATTCTCAATATTCACTATCTTTCTATTCAAATAATCTCACTAAAACACATAGCTTAGAATAAAAATCAAAATGTTAGAGCTGAAAGGAAACTCAGGAATTTTTTCCCAAGTCTAGCTCTTTTCTTTCTTTCTTTCTTTCCTTCTTTCTTTCTTTCTTTCTTTCTTTCTTTCTTTCTTTCTTTTTCTTTCTTTCTTTCTTTCTCTCTTTCTTTTTCTTTCTGTCTTTCTGTCTTTCTTTCTTTCTGTCTTTCTGTCTTTCTTTCTGTCTTTCTTTCTTCCTTTCTGTCTTTCTCTCTTCTTTCTTTCTTTCTTTCTTTCTTTCTTTCTTTCTTTCCTTTCTTTCTTTCTTTCTTTTCTTTCTTTCTTTCTTTCTTTCTTTCTTTCTTTCTTTCTTTCTTTCATCTTTCTTTCTTTCTGTCTCTCTCTCTCTCTCTTTCTTCCTTTCTTCCTTTCTTTCCTCAAAGGAATGAGCTGAACTCAGAACAGGTCATGTACTCCTTACCTTGTTGCAAAGTATACAAATTGTTCAATTGCTAGTTCAAGACTCTTCCATTTGGACATGTTGAACAAATTGATCAGAGCCAAAGCACTCAGGTGCTTGAACAAACTATGCCTGTGGTAAAGAAAAATGTCTCGGCCAGGCGCAGTGGCTCAAGCCTGTAATCCCAGCACTTTGGGAGGCTGAGATGGGCGGATCACGAGGTCAGGAGATTGAGACCATCCTGGCTAACACGGTGAAACCCCGTCTCTACTAAAAAATACAAAAAACTAGCCGGGCGAGGTGGCAGACGCCTGTAGTCCCAGCTACTCGGGAGGCTGAGGCAGGAGAATGGCATAAACCTGGGAGGCGGAGCTTGCAGTGAGCTGAGATTCGGCCACTGCACCCCAGCCTGGGTGACAGAGCGAGACTCCGTCTCAAAAAAAAAAAAAAAAAAAAAAAAAAAAGACAAATGTGTCATATGATGTCAGGTGAAAGAAAGTAACCCAGCCGAGGGTTAGCAAAATTTAGGGAGCTCCAGAGTTGAAACTTTTTCTTTTTCTAACAGAACTGTAGAAAATTCAAACAATACAGAGAGTTAAAAAGATAAAAGCAAAAATCCTCTGAAATTATAGCAACCAAAGACATTTATTATCGATATGTTAGAATGCATCTCTCTAGACCCTCATGTGCTCTCTCCCTCCTTTTCTCTCCATGTATATATGTTTATATGTATTTTTATGTGTATGTATTTACAGTTATATTTTGATATATGGAAAATGTATAAGTTGAAACATGTCGTCATATAAATTGAAATTTTTTTCACCTGATATGTTTGGAAATTGTTCATTTTCAAAAGTTACAGGCATATTATTTGAAGAAATGTTAAGAACCTTCTTCATGAAGCCTTCAGTGGATAGACAAGAACACCCACTCTATTCCATATATATAAATACCCCCTTAAAATATCTGGAATAATTTATCTGATTAATTAAAAAAAGATACCATCAGTACATCATACGATAACATGTTACTTTTTCTTAATAGTTTTTGCTCTTCGTCTTGCAGGATATGAATGAAGTCTCCAACTTTGTTGATGGTTCGGTCTCAGGATGTTCCACAAACAACCTAAATAATCCCCCATTCACTCCCAGTAAGTCTTGGTGGTCAGCAGATTAAAGTAGCAATGTGTATTTCATATTATAAATTCATAAGGACAGATCCGAAAAATTTGACAAGGGAATTTGTTCATAAGTGTGCATAGAAAAAGAAAAATGTGGGTAAGGAAAACTAGGAAGGAAAATAAAAACATGCTATACTTTCCTAAAAGAGGCACAAATTCAAAAGGGGCAATGTAATACTTCTACTTACAGTCAAAGCTATTTCTAGGGAAGATCTAGAGAGGATATGGTGTAGAGGCCAGAGGCTAGTGGTAAGTTTATGTCATTCTCAAATATACACCCGCAGGCCAGGGTTTACTAGAGAGACACCAGGTAAACAGCCTTGGTCTTAAGGTGAGGGTCATGTCTGACATGTCCACAGTGTGAAGAACTGAGCCACAGGATGAAAAGACAGAACTCGTGACTTGGGAGGTCAAAGTCAGTGAACGTGATGATACCCAGCTTTGACTGAACTTTGGACAACACTATCTCTTAGGGTGTGGCCTTGGAATCATAGGATCGGCCATAGTTTGAAGAATGCTGGAGGTTCAAGGACAAATTATATCTTGAGAAAGGAAAAAACTGCTAAGATGATAATAGCTTATGAAGGCTTCAATATGGTGGGAAGAGAGGAAATTGGGGCAGGTAGGTTAGAATCAAATGCTGAGGGGCTTGGATAAGAGGCTAAACAGTTCATATTTTATTCTTTTGGTGTTAGAAGCTACTTGTCTTTTAGCAAGAGAGAAGCATGGTAGTCAGATGGTTTTGGAAATTTGAACCTGGCATTAATATGTAGTGTGAACTAGAAATAGATACATGGGAGGTAAATAAGACATGACGAAGCTACTGCAATAGTTAAGGTCCACAGATAATGTGGATCTCAACCAGAGTGGTGCAATGGGAGCGGAGAGGAACAGATGAATACAGGAGAGACTGGAAATCATTCTTTAAAATATATGATCAGGGGAGAGAAGGAGTCAGAAATTAATTTACACTTTCATTCAGTATTTCTATTCTTGGACCACTTAACTTAGCTCAGTTTGGAGAATTCAGATTGAACCTCAGGGCTGACTGAATCTTCTTGCTTCCGAGTGTCTGCCTCTAATCACATGAGAGCACGGGTGGGAGGATGTGTGTGAGTCAGCAGAATTCATTTATATGTCAGAGAAACTACTCCATGTGGATAGCGTTCTTATAGTGAGGGAGCAGTGTGACTGCAGGATGCCCACAAGAGTGTCTGCCCGGGGTGCTGTCATGTCAGATTGTGTGATAGTCAAGGAGCAGGAAATGTGCAACTTAGGCTGTCGCTGATTGATCCCTCTTTGGTTTCAGGAGTCCTGGATGGGTACCTGTTCTGCAAGACTCTCTGTATGGATGCAGTGCAGCACTGGGGCAAGCAGTATGACGTTCACAATCTGTACGGCTACTCCATGGCGGTTGCCACAGCAGAGTAAGACCACTGTGGCTACTACCTGCTAATTATTGAATATAAAGAATATATATATGTTTTTAATTCTTGGAGATTATGGGGCTAATGCATAAAATTTCTTAAGACAAAACAAAGCAAAACAAAACATATTTAATGATACAGAATGCTCCCCACAGGGACTCTAATTGTACCGAAAGAGAGTTGGAAGAGAGTGGGTTATTCACTTTTAATGTCTTTGGTATTGTTTCTGTATCCCCTGGACTGAGACAAACTAAGATCTCACACTGGCTCCTTAAATCTCTCTCCCTTTCTAGAGCTGCCAAGACTGTGTTCCCTAATAACAGAAGCTTCATTCTGACCCGTTCTACCTTTGCGGGTTCTGGCAAGTTTGCAGCACATTGGTTAGGAGACAACACCGCCACCTGGGATGACCTGCGATGGTCCATCCCTGGCGTGCTTGAGTTCAACCTTTTCGGCATCCCAATGGTGAGTTGCTACCTCAAGCTCTCTTATGAGCCTGAATTCCCAGGTAGCCTCATTCTAGAAAGTTTTCAAGCTACAAAGCTCCCCTCTCCTGCCTGCCATGGCTGGGAATTTAATGTCTTGAGAGCATGTGTTTCATCCACATCAGCAGGGCTTTGATACCATACCATTCTTTCCTGTACTGCCTTATGAAGACAGAAGGTGTAACTTTGATCTTTCTATTAAAGTATAACATGTGTAACATACTTTATACAGAAAAGTGTATGTATTCTTAAGAATACAGCTGATGAATTTCACCAACTGAACACTTCTGTGTATCTAGTGCTGAGATGAAGAAGTATAACATTGCCAGCACCCTACAGGCTTTGGCATTTTTTAGTTAAATCCAACATATTTATGAATTGAGCTCTTAGAATGTTCAAGGTCTCGAGCAGAGTAGGCATCGTGAGAGGGGAAGGAAAGCATAAATATAGTAAAGATGTACCTTCTCTTTGCCCCAAGGGTTTACAGTTTAGTAAGAGGAGACATATGTGTAAACAAATAATTATGACAAACTAGGGTAAAAAGACCAACAGGGACATAGGAGTTAAATGTTACGGGAGATCCCGAGAAAGGGTTTTATCTGACAAAATTATGAGGGACAAAAGGAATCAAGGCAGGAAGTCAAGAGACACTTTATGGAAAAGATGACATTTGAGATTAACCTAGAAAGGTGAGTATTTTTTCATCTGACTAATGAGGGGGGAGGTTCATTTTAACACTGAGAAATAAAAGTGAGCACAAATAGTAGAAGGGGGATTATTTGATATATCTATGAGGATTGCTGTGTGGGACTGGAATGAGAAATGATGCTAAAAAGATGGGTTGGAACCAGGTTTTAAATATCTAAAAGAATGAACAGCAAGGAAGTCCTGGAGATTTTTTAATAGGTGAGTGACATGGTCAGAGTTAGGCTTTAGAAAAATAATACTGACAGTGGTGAGGTCAAAATAATAATATCAGCAGTATTATTAGGTACTATACATCCAAAAGCTCTTGTATGTAAAGTGTATTACTTTCATTATCTCACTCATTTACTAAATACCTGTGTAGTAATTTAATACTCACTGACAAAATGAGGAAATTGAGGCACAGAAGGATTGAGTGACTTACTCAAAGTCATCCAGCATTCAAGAGTGGACACAGGCTATGACTGAATTTTGACCACCCTCCTAGCCTTCTCAGTAGGAAGTTTAAGCAAGGTTTAGTTGGGAGGTCCCTGGTGGAAAGCAAAGGAGGGTGGTGGAAGGAAGTGAGGTATACCTGTTGTCTGTGTGTCCTTCCAGGTGGGTGCTGACATATGTGGCTTTGCCTTGGATGCCTCTGAGGAGCTCTGTAGGCGGTGGATGCAGTTGGGTGCATTTTATCCATTTTCTAGAAATCACAATGGCCAAGGCTTCAAGGTAAGGCTCCTAGGAAATAGAGTCAGAATGAATGTGGCGTACATTAGGACTAGATCTGTCTGCATCCTTGCCAAGAGATCTGCTGAACCAACCTCTTACCTGGTCTTCACTTACTCTGATTTGCACCATCAGGTGCAATTAACCAGAACCTGTGCTGTATCATTGAAATGTCCAGTGGCCTCAGCCTGTTATTTACTGCTGCATTCAAGGAAATGGCGTGTCTGTAAAGGTCTTTCATCAAACTTTTGTACACTATATTTACATTGTTTGCTTTTAAATAAGAAGCAAACAAAGAAATACTTCAAAATTATTTAAATTGCAGCCTCCCAAGAGAGGAATCTTAAAGAATGAGGGAGGCAGGATGAATTGAAAACCCAAGTAGAGACCCTTACTTGGTACTGCTCAGAAGCGAGGTTTGCAACCTTGGCCTCTGTCATTCAGGAGGGAAATTCTTGGTTGTGATGAATGAGATCTGGAATTCTCAGATGCTTCTGATACCCTGCAGCCAAACCACAACTGCAAACTCCTATTTCCTCCCAGGACCAGGATCCTGCCTCCTTTGGAGCTGACTCCCTGCTGTTGAATTCCTCCAGGCACTACCTTAACATCCGCTATACTCTATTGCCCTACCTATATACCCTCTTCTTCCGTGCTCACAGCCGAGGGGACACGGTGGCCAGGCCCCTTTTGCATGAGTAAGTTCACCTAACCTCCTCTAATTTATTAATGCATCTGGAATGACATTGACTATATCATCAAATATAGGAGTGAAAAACTGAAACAATTCGGGCAGTTATTCATATCTATCTATATCTATATCTGTAATCTATCTATCTCTATTCATTTATATATCTAACTGGAATACCTAGTTGGTATTTGTAAACCTCGCCTGTTCCATTTTGGTGAGAGAATTAGACTAAAAGTCATGGGACTACAGGTCTTTTCTTTGTTCTGCCGCTCACTAACTCACTCTATACCTTAGGCGAATCATTTTTTGTTTAGTTTCTTCAGTCTTAATTCAAAGGATTTGAAGTCTTGACTGTGGTGGTCTCGTCTGTAATGTGCTATAATGCCAGAACCATGTTCAAGCTGTAGGAATGAGCCTCTAATATAAATACAAATGAGGCTATTATAAAGGATTTGTAGAGTTTCAGAATTCTTATTTCTCAGGCAATGAACATCTCTAATTTAATTCTAAAACAAGGCGCTTAAGAGTATTTTCTTGTCAAAATACAGTCAACTCCCTTATGTGGGTGACATATGAGGCCCTCAGGCACATATCAAGCTATCATATATTCATTACTTTGGGAAGTTTTTGTCTGTTCATGAAATTTCTTTTTAAAAGGCAGATATCCTGAAAGAGAAAAAAGTAAAATGTTAAATTATCTGGTATATTTTATGATCAGATCTAGTTTCTTGATCATCAGCTGAAGTTATGAAATGTATTGATTATTTAACTTAATTTTTTAATTTTAAATTTTTGTGGGTATATAGTAGTTGCATATATTTATGGGGTATATGAAATGTTTTGACATAGGCATGCAATGTGAAATAAGAACATTATGGGAATGGGGTATCCATCCCCTCCAGCATTTATCCTTTCAGTTATAAAGAATCCAAGTACACTCTTTAAGTTACCTTTAAATGTACAATTAAGTTATTATTGACTATAGTCACCCTATTTTGCTATCAAACGGTAGGTTTTACTCATTCTTTTTAACTATTTTTTTTTGTATCGGTTAACCATCTTGACCTCCCTCCCAGCCCCTCACTATCCTTCCCAGCCTCTGGTAACCATTGTTGTACTCTCTGTATCCATAAATTCTTGGTTTTTAGATCCCACAAATAGGTGAAAACATGTGATGTTTGTCTTTATATGCCTGGCTTATTTCATGTAACATAATGATCTCCAGTTCTATCCATGTTGATGCAAATATCTAGATCTCAACTTACTTTTTTTAAAAAGGAGGGATATGGAAAATAGAATTACAGCCTGAGACCTGCCTAGCATACATACTGGAATAGAAACATCTGTTTATCCTGAGGGAAGAATAGGAGACATAAGCTGGGGAAGGGAATCTGTCTAGGGGTGCACAGGGGCTTGAGTAGGTGTCACAGAATAATTTGGGAGGTTTGCCCGGGCAGGCGGCCTATATGCTTTCAACAGGTTGTGAGTAGAACTGCGACAAATCTCATTGGCAGTGGCTCAAATCTCAGTGAACTGTCTCTCTGGTCTTCAGGTTCTACGAGGACAACAGCACTTGGGATGTGCACCAACAGTTCTTATGGGGGCCCGGCCTCCTCATCACTCCAGTTCTGGATGAAGTAAGTGTTCCCACAGAGATACACTAGGGATCTCTGCTTCTGTTCCTGCTGTCCTGCAAATTCCTCTCTCCTCCTTATTCCAAACTCATTTCTGACATCTGGGACTGAGTCAGCCTTGAAGACAGTGTGCTAGGTTTTGAGAAGCTAGACATCTGGTAATTACATATTTTTCTTTCTAGAATTTTTTTTTTCCCTCGATCAAGTTCCCGACTGGTTTAGAAGCATCTACTGGAAACTCTAGATTTAAAAGTTATGTTAGGTTGTTCTTGCATTGCTATAAAGAAATTCCTGACACTGATTAATTTACAAAGAAAAGAGATTTCATTGGCTCACAGTTCTGAAAGCTTTACAAGAAGCATGATGCTGGTATCTGCACAGCTTCTAGGGAGGCCTCAGGAAGCTTACAGTCATGGAGGAAGGTGAAGGGGAGCAGGGATGTCACATAGCAAAAGCAGGAACAAGAGAGAGAGTGGGGGGAGTTGCCACACACCTTTTTTTTTTTTTTTTTTTTTTTGAGATGGAGTCTCACTCTGTCGCCCAGGCTGGAGTGCAGTGGCACAATCCCAGCTCACTGCAACATCCAACTCCTGGGTTCACGCGATTCTCCTGCCTCAGCCTCCCAAGAAGCTGGGATTACAGGCACCTGCCACCATGCTCGGCTAATTTTGTATTTTTGTGGAGATGGGGTTTCATGTTAGCCAGGCTGGTCTCAAACTGCCAACCTCAGATGATCCACCTGCCTCGGCCTCCAAAGTGCTGAGATTACAAGCATGAGTCACTGCGCTCAGCTGCCGCACACTTTTAAACAACCAAATCTTATAAGAATTCACTCACTATCACCAGGACAGAACCAAGGGAATGGTGTAAACCATTTATGAGAAATCCGCCCTCATGATCCGGTCACCTCCCTCCACGCTCCACCTCCGACACTGGGGATTACATTTCAGCATGAGATTTGGGCAGAGACAAACATCCAAACTATATTGGGAGTGATCCTATTTGTTTTTGGATTCTCATAGCAGATCCTGCCTTGCTCCATGATGCAGAAACAGGATGGAGCAGTCCCAACACTCACTCTAAAGTCAGGTGGATCAGGATGTGATTGTTGTCTCTGCCACTTTGAGCCTGTGTGATCAGGGGTGACGGTTGTACTGGCTTCTCATCTGTAGAGGTGTAATAATATTAATAATAATAGTACCTACCATTTGGGAACGTTGGGAAAATTGAATGATATAACCATGTAAAGCTGGAATGTTTGTCACCACACATGTTTTTTTATTATTATTATTCCTAATGTGGCTACCTTTGGGATTTCTCTCTGGGTTGCCAAGTTACAGCTTCTATTATTTGTATTAGAGGAGAAGCAGAAGAAAGGCTTCCAGAGGATGGAAAGGGCATTCCTGCCCTCTCTGTGTATGATTAAGAAGTTCCCTAGATAATAAAAAGAAATCCATTTTATTTCCCTCAGGGGACACTATACTGTTTTAATTTCAGGGTGCAGAGAAAGTGATGGCATATGTGCCTGATGCTGTCTGGTATGACTACGAGACTGTGAGTAGCTTTGACTTTTCTTCTGCTCCTTAAGACTGTAGCTGCAGCTGCACAGACAAGTTACCTTTCCCGAGAGAGAAACATCCATCTGCCTGCTGAGGAGTATTTTTGTAGTGTATTCTGTAATTTCATAGCAGAACCTGGTAAAGTCAACGTAAATCCCTAACATCAGTCATGATGAAATGTGAAAAAATACCTTCATATACTTTATTCAGCAATAAGATAGAGGCTGACATAGTATCTCATAAATGAATATTGGAGGAACTGATGGACAACGTGAGCTTGGTCAGGAATCAGATTATTTGTTTAGACCTATCAGTTTATATGATATTTATCAAATAGCCTCAGCATGGCATATATGTTTTCACAAACCCCCAACTGGTGGCAGAACATGTTATTCCTGATTTTTTTCCTTCTGTTGTTTGATTGCCTGGCTAGACTGTAATTCAACTAATTGGAAAAGGCAGAGAATTGTGGATCACTTGGCATGTAGATAATCAGTGGAGGGCAATATGCTGTCATGCCAATGTGTTTGATTTATCTGCATGCATCAGGGGAACCAAGTGAGAAGGAGGAAGCAAAAAGTCGAGATGGAACTTCCTGGAGACAAAATTGGACTTCACCTTCGAGGAGGCTACATCTTTCCCACACAGCAGCCAAATACAACCACTCTGGCCAGGTATAGCATGGCTGGAGTGTCCTTTAAGAATTGATATCCTTCCTGAAACCCTTTGAATTTCTTTTTGAAACTAACAGCCCGGTGGTCAGCCTTTTTTGTTTGGCCAGGACTGTTGCAGTTTTAGCACCAAAAGTCCCTTCCCTTAGGATGCTTCTTGATTCTGGGCAAACCAGGTCAGTTGATCCCTCTATCTGCCTTGGCCACACTGTGCATCTATGTTTCTTTACTCTTGACTCACTTGTTCTCTTTTCTAGAGAGTCAAGATTCAATTTCCACTCTCCTAGAATTTCAACTTCATATTTCTTTTCTCCCACTAAGTTTTCTTTCTTGTGATTCAGACATTACCTTCTGCAAACCTCAAATCTCCAAGTCACTGAATTTTCCTTTATACTTTATTGATTCCAAAACAATAGATTCCATCTGTACTAAAGAGGTACACATTTATATCTTCATGCGTTTGAAAGTATTCGCCTACTTGTCTTTAGTAGACTAGGAGTTGTTTGGAAGCCAGAAACCTGTCTTTTCTTTTGAACCTCTCTTACTGCTTTAATTTTCCAAATTGTAGACTTTTTTATGATGCTAATGGAAAATATCCCTAAATCCAACACAAGTTGGCTTCCTTTTTTGAATTGTTCACTTTCAAGCTGTTCTGCACAGTGATACCAAATTGATTTTTCCAAAATGAAAATCTCGACTGGTTGCTCCCAGGCTTTAAGTCCAAAGTCTTCTATTAATAGGGTATTTAAAACCAGTCACAACCTGGTTACATGTTACCTTAACAATTCTTATCTCCTGCCATACCTTCACGTACATACAGACCAGCTATGCCAAAAGCCTCCTATTTCCCAGACATACCTATGCATTTTACTGCATTTAGGCTTTTGAATTTATCCTTTCCAACATCTTTGCCCTGGTGTATTCTTAATGATCCAAATGAAACTTACATTTCAGCAGCAAGAAATCTTTCCCTAATCTTCCAGCAGAGGAAGCACTGCCACTTCCAAGTTTCCAGTCATTTCATATATATACATATATATATATATACATATTTTACTCCTTAGAAGATTTTGTCTTCCTTAATACTGTTAGCATTTCAATAATAGTTGTACACTCTGTGCTAGAAAATTTTATTATCTGAAATGTTTAGGGGAATCTAAGTCTATTGTTACTTACCTTTGCTGACTTTCTTTCATGTTGACTTATTACCTTGTGTGCTCGGTGATCTTTTTTTTTTTAAGCTATGATAATCTTATAAATGTAGGTCTCATTCCTCCAGAGATGATTTGCCTTCTCCTCTGTTTGCAAGCCAAGAATTGCTTCCAACTGGCATTATGTTAGCTTCCTTCAAGATCCCGGCTTCGTGTGGGAATCAGAAGTTCACATTCTCTACCTTGGATTGCTAGGCTTAGTAGCCCAATTTTAACCTTGCTATGGGAATTTGCCACACGGAGATTCTAGGTTTTGCTTACTAAGCACCATTTTAGTTTTAGCTCAGTGTTTTGTTATCCTGTTACTGTTTTGGTCTCTTGGATGTATTTCTTACTTTCTTGCAAATCCAACAATATTTTAACAGGAATATGTGTTGTAATTTATCTAGAATCAGGGAATATTTTACTGGGTAAGTCTCCAGAAGAATATCCAGTCCACCATATTTCTGGAACTGTGGTTCTGGACTCCTCGAGTATCTTAACTTTTGTGTTGTGTTCACTGTCTGCCTCCATTTTTTAAATGAATGTGCCTAGTTTTTCCAGTAATATTTAAGGTCGTTCAGGTCAGGACTTGTGATTTATTAATTTTTGTATCTCATTGACTTCCTAGAAATGACTGCTACTCAATACATGAATATTTAATGAAAGCAGATGATTTTGTTGATAATAAAAACTAACTCTTATATAGTGAAAGGCTGAACTGTGAAATAATACGATGGAGAATGTGAGTCTAGTGACAGACAGAGAAGAAACAAGAAGAGAAGGAAACTTGGAGGTTGCCTAGAGGAGTGACAGAATGAGGAGAGATTCCAAATAAAAATTTCTCTCTCTCCCCTCTTCCTCTCTGTCTATCTACTTTACCATGTCTTTGAGTAATGTTTTGTGTTTCTTATTCTAAATTATAAAGTAGGTCATTAGAATGATTTGTTTTTCTTTCAAAAGAAACTAATACCTGATAATCAGATAAGTTACTACTAAATAGATGGACCTTATTGTATGTTGTTGATTTCTGGGTATAAATGGTCCTTAGGCAGGTGAAACTGTGTCTTCCTCACAGCACTGGACACTTCTCCTGAGGGCATCATTGCTAAAATGATCTGACTGAACCAGTTATTGCCTAAGATTTCTTTCTCTTCTCATAGTCTGTATTCTAAGTAGTAGTTGCAGAAGCAGCTTTTACTTGAGCTATTGAAGAGCTTCTGGTGCTTAAATTCTTGCCTCCAACATAGATGTTATTGCTAATGTTTGGGGTATTTCTATCTCTTGTGACACTGTTGATATTAAAGATCAGGGCGCCTGTCAATTTTGTATTTGTGCCTGAAGAAAAGCAGAACCATCTGCTGCTAGTAACTTTTTCAATTTGGAATTTGATGGAAACATTCTCAGCTCAGTTGGCAAAATTCTGACTCCTGTCTTTGTCTCTTGAATCTTGTTCCCCACAGTCGAAAGAACCCTCTTGGTCTTATCATTTGCCTAGATGAGAACAAAGAAGCAAAGGAGAACTTTTCTGGGATGATGGGAAAGCGAAGGGTGAGCACTGAAGCGATCATGTTGCTGTTTCCAAACCGCACCTGTGACTTATGGTCCTTCCCTCCTACTGGTCATTGAGCGTGGGAATGCCAGGCACAGCAAGAGTCACTGAAGTATTTTGTTTCTGGTTGCACCATTCAGAGGTAATTGGTAGATGACCTACAAAGGAAAGAAAAATACATTTCTATATCTGACAATTCTTCTATTGGCCAGTGATATCAATAATAGGCTCTCTTTTGTTTGTTTGTTTGTTTGTTTGTAGTGGAGTTTTGCTCTTGTCGCCCAGGCTGGAGTGCAGTGGCACAATTTCGGCTCACTGCCGCCTCTGCCTCCCAGGCTTAGTGGTTCTCCTGCCTCAGCCTCCTCATAACTAGGACTACAGGTGCCTACCACCATGCCTGGCTAATTTTTGTATGTTTAGTAGAGGCAGGGTTTCACCGTGTTAGCCAGGATGATCTCAGTCTCCTAAGCTCTTGATCTACCCGGCTCAGGCTCCCAAAGTGCTGGGATTATAGGCGTGAACCACCACGCTTGGTCAATAGGCTCTCTTTTTATTATAGTGGGTGCTTAGAACAGATGGTTTCGAGACTGTTCCTTAATTCAATGTTAATGTCTTCCTCCCAAAATTCTTATGAGCAAATGTTGGCAATATAAAAATCGTGCCCCTGCCAATGAGGCAGTGAGAATATACTGTTGTAGTGTGTACTCAGCTAGCCATACCTTTTAGTATTTGTGGGTCCAGTATACCTTTCAATTCCTGTGCTTCAAGTTTAGGAAACAGATTCCTTGAGGCATATACCTTGGAAGCCTTTGGAAGGAAGCTTTGCAATGTTCCAGTAGGAAAAGAGAAGGAAAAACAATGGCTTGACCTTGGAGACTCTTGTCCATCTAATCCAATATGTAGATTTAAATATTTATTTATTTTTAGTGCAAAATATTTAATTGGCAAATAAAAGATGAAATATATCCAAAGTGGACAATGTGAGGATTTAATATATATATAGGCATAGTATAATGATTACACAGCTATTTTGAGCACATCAATATATCATACCTTAAAGACTGGATCCCCAGAACCTATTCATCAATAACTCTAAACTTTGTACCCTTGACCATCATCTCCCCATTTTCCCCCACCTGCAGGCTCTAAGAACAACTGTTACACTGTCTGCTTCTAGGAGCTTAACTTTTAGATTTTCACATGTAAGTGAGACCATGCAATAAATGACTTTCTGTCTCTGGCTTGTTTCACTTAGTATAATGTCCTCTAGATTCAACCATGCTGTTGCAAATGGCAGAATTTTCTTCTTTTTATGTCTGAATAATATTCTATTGTATATATCTTATAATTCTTTATTCATTCATCTATTGATGGACATTGAGTTATTTTCATATCTTTGCTACTGTGCAATGCAAATTAAACACTTAAATGTAAGGACTGGGGTAATGAAGCTCCTAGAAAGAAAACAGGAAAAAACCTCCTTGACATTAGTCTTGGCAATGACTTTTTGGATATGCAAAATCAAGGAAAAATAGCAAATAATAACCAAATAATAAACAAGCATGATTATCAAACAAAGGCTTCTACTGTAAAAGAAACAATCAACACAATTAGAAAATGCAAAACTACAGAATGGATAAAAATGTTTACCCAAACCATATCTCAGAAGAGATTAATATAAAAATAAAGAACTCAGGCAACTCAGTAGCAAAACATCAAATGATCCAATTAAAAACTGGGTGAAGGACCTGAGCAGATGTTTTTCCAAGGAAGACATACAAGTGGTAACTGGTATGTGAAAAGATACTCAAATCACTAAATGACCTTTTAGGAATTACAGAGTCAAAAATCACAGTGAGATGTCACCTCACACCTGTTAGCATGGAAATCATAAAAAAAAAAAAAAAGAGATAAGTGCTGGCGAGGGTGCTTAGGAGAAAATGGAATTTTTTAGACTATTGGTGGGAGTGTAAATTGTTACAACTGTTATGGAAAATAGTATGGAGGTTCCTCAAAAAATTAAAAACAGAACTTCCATACAATCTTATGAAATCCCACCTCTGGGTGTATATCCAGAGGACATGAAATCAGTGTCTTTAAGAGAGATAGTCACTCCCATGTTCATTACGGCATTATGTGCAACGGCAAGATATAGAAACAATCTAATTGTACATTGATGAATGAATGAAGAAATGTGATACACATATACAATTAAAAATTATTCATCCATAAAGAAAAGGAAAATTGCTATGTGCGACCTCAAGACATAGCTGAAAGAGGTGGCAGGTGAAATCTTTTCTTCTGTGGTGGGAAGGCTAGAATCTGACTTGTCTTTCTCTCACTTGCAGATACTGTGGCCAATAAAGTGTATCTTTTATGTGAGTTTTCTGTCACTCGAGTAAGTAGCATGCTTTTATGAATCTTAGGTGTGGGCTTTGGACTGTCCATTAGCACATCTGTGCTTGTGTATATTGTATATGTGTGATTATATTTGTAACTTTATATGCATTATTGGCTATAGGTGAGCACATTTCTGGCCTGATTTCATAGATGTTTTGAAAAAGAGGCATTCATATAGCAAATAGCGTTTGTAAATACAGTTTAAAAATATCTGTGTGTTTTTATGATTGTTTTAAATTAGAGGATTATCAAAATAATTTTGTGCTTCTTGAGCACACACTAGTAGAGAAAGCAGAGAGGCATTCAGGGCAGTGAGGGGTATCTGGTCTGGAATGGAATATTTGAGTGACTTGATAATCTGTGTGTGCAAGGCGTACCTTTATGCATAATTGGACTTAATTGTTTTGCAGAACCGCTTGGAGGTGAATATTTCACAGTCAACCTACAAAGGACCCAATAATAATTTAGCATTTAATGAAATTAAAATTCTTGGGACGGAGGAACCTAGCAATGTTACAGTGAAACACAATGGTGTCCCAACTCAGACTTCTCCTACAGTCACTTATGATTCTAACCTGAAGGTAAAACCCCATTTTGTTGAGATGGTGTAGGGAATTCTCCATAGTATCTTGGTGTTCCTTCTTGCCAAGGTTTCCTTAGGTTCCTGAAGGAACAAGAGCAACTTTGAAGCCTGTTTTGGGGAAGTTAGAGGACTGGGGGAAAAATATGAGGGTAGCCCAGGCTAGAATGAGTTGGGTGTTTACCTTCTTATTCTCTTCTCTGCCTCTAAATGTTCTCTCTCTAACTGGTTCCACTTCCTTTTCCCAAAAGTAGAATTATAATTATGATGAGACACAAGAAGAGCAGAGTTAGGAAAGTGGGGAACAGCCTTATATTATTAGCCTGTGAAAATTATATGACTGGAATAGCATTGATAAGATTCAGTTTTGAAAAAGAGGCTAGTTTGCATAGGAAACTTGTGGTCAGATTTTGGAGGGTCTTAGGTACCAACTTGATTTAATTGTCAAAGGGCCTCATGGCCCAGTCCTTGAATGAAGGCTGTGCTACTGTGTGAGCATTGCTGGGAGTGGGAGTGGGTTTTGGGGACTAGTAGAACAGGGAAGTACAAGATGGTTTAGACTGGAGGAGACTGGGGAGAAAGGATGATAATTTTTAGAATGTGATTTTGTTACTCAGACAAATTGAGAACTTTAACCAGGAAGTGCTGTTTAAAGAAGTATCAAAGATAAGAAAAATATATAGAAAAATATTAAATATTAGAACTAATGGTATTAAAGGAAGTTTTCAAAATTGGAGTCTTTGGGCTTAGAGAAATGAAGAGGCTGGGATGTTAGAAATGGAAAGAAATATAATTTTTTTTCAGCTTTTCAATTTTGCTGTTGCTACAATTGAAACTCAAATAAATGAAACAGAATACCTGACCTACCCTGATCTTGATTATTATGCATTGTATGCCTGAATCAACATATTTCATATAACCCATAAATATGTATACTTACTATATATCCATTAAAATTAAAAATTAATAAAAGAAATCATTTGTCCAACATTCTACAGAAATGTGGGCATGATGACTAGGTCATATGATTCTTATTGCTGTGATCTTTCTATCCTCACGTAATGGGATACTGGTTTGGGGACTGGAGAGCAAAGGGATCAGCTCACTTTGGGTGACACCATGTGTCATGCTAAAGAGGAAGTGCAGAAGAGAGCCTGCCTGATAAGACACAGAGGGCTAAGAGGAGTCAGGACAGAGAAAGAATAAGGGAGTGATCATGACGGGTTTTGTTTGACCAAGTAATTTTCATTGTGCTATGGACAACATTCTACTAGAGGGGAGACATTTGCCCTGTTGCTGCTATTAGATTCCCCAATGTACAGTTCTCTTCTTATGAGCTCAAGTCATACGTTGCTTGGATGGTTGAAACTCTGTTCTAATTTCTATTTTTTTTCTTGAAAACGGAAGCATCAGATCTTGCAAAGGCCTATCTCCTAAAGATGAATTTCCTTGTGATTTCTGCATTCCTACAGGTTGCCATTGTCACAGATATTGATCTTCTCCTGGGAGAAGCATACACAGTGGAGTGGGATATAAAGATAAGGGATGATGAAAAAATGAACTGTTACCCTGATGAGAATCGCGCTTCTGCAGAAAACTGTGCTGCCCGTGGCTGTATCTGGGAGGTAACCATGCTGATGGGGTTCATGTACATGAACATCCTCAACACCTAATCTATAGTTTCTTAAGCATAGCAGTAGTACTTACATAAGTACTTAAAATCCATAGAAAGAAAAGACTTCTTAAGGGACATGCTCTGGATATGAAGAGTAGGTGGGGACATGTGTGAAACTTTTTAAAATGAATATTTTGGCAGAGACCAGGAATTTAAATTTATGTTATTGCCAAGTGATCAGTGATGGGCTGGTTTTGTTATGCATTATAAAATGGTGTTTCTATCCTGTTTAGGTTAGAGAACTTTAAGACCACTTGCTATGCTGATCTATGACCCCACTGCACTTACTTTTCAGGCATCCAATTCTTCTGGAGTCCCTTTTTGCTATTTTGTCAATGATCTATACTCTGTCGGTGATGTTCAATATAATTCACATGGGGCCACAGCTGACATCTCCTTAAAGTCTTCCGTTTATGCCAATGCCTTCCCCTCCACACCCGTGAACCCCCTTCGCCTGGATGTCACTTACCATAAGAATGAAATGCTGCAGTTCAAGGTAAACACAGTACATGTATCAGGTAGTGATTAGACCCTTTTCAGTTCCATTACCTTTTATTGGTCTGAGTCACAGAACCCTAAAATAAGTTAATCATGCTACAATAGACTAGATCATTATCCAGAGAGCGTTGAGAAATCATTGAGGGAACAATGAGACCTGCCTGATTTTTCATTTGGAAAAGATTACTGTGACTGCTGTTAGGAAAATGGTTGGGAGAGCAAGAGTGTATGCAGACAGACAGGTCAGGAGGCTACTAGTTAGGCAGTTTGGTTGAGGGATTAGGTTTGGACTAGACACTGGAATGCAGGTGGAGAAGAGTGGATCTGTCTGAGGTTGAGAAAGTTGGGTTATAGGATCTGGTGGTTGATAGTAAGCAGGTACGACGAATGGAGAGGAAAATCAAGAATGATGACCGTGTTGGTATCTTACCTCTTAATATGGATGGTGCTGACATTAACTGGAATAGGAATACTGAAAAGGTTTGTGCTTGATCAATGTCAGATGATATGTTCATTTTGGGATACTGAATTTGAGATTTCTGTATATAGCCATCAGTATGCAGTAATTTCATTCCTTTCCAAGATTTAATTACATTTAAGGACTAGGAATGGGCCAGCTATTATGTCTATTTCTCTATTAAACTAAGCTTCTCAAGGACAGAAATGTGCCCTTTCTTCTTTGTGCTTATGAAATAGAATACAGAGCCTGGCAGATAGTTAGCGGTGTAATGTTATTGACATAGTAAGTGAAAGTGATCAGGACATTGTTGCATTGCCTGAAAGATTCTTTACAATCTGTCATCAACCCGAATTCTGATTCTTGTACATCTCTAATGCAGGGAAGATGCTCTTGTATGTCTGTATCCTCATCATAGCACTAGCATGTTGTAGGCACCACAAGTGGGTTTTTAAATGAATGAACTTCCTTGGAGTTCTAGCCTTAACCACTGCCTACTTTACCTCTTGAACACAGAGTAGCTGTTTCCAAAATATTTGCCTGTTTCTGGCCCACATTTCTCTATGGTTGTTATTCTTCACCAGTATGACTTGATCTCCTTTCTTTGTTTGGTTAATAACTACCAAGCTTTTAAGACTCATCCTGTATTTCTCCCATGACACCATCTCAGTCTCCCAGAAACAATGTTAGAGGCATTTCAGCCTAGAATCTCACAGCACTTCTACATAGCTGTCCTTAGCACACATCACCCAAGTGTTGTGAGCTGCTCTATTTTACTTCTCATCTGCTTGTGAATTTTTGTAAAACCGTGTGCACTTCCTTATTCAGCTCACATCCCTACTGTCTTGTGTGCAGTGTCAGACAGGGATGTAGTAGGCCTCATGAATCGGTTTAGATACCACCTTCAGCAAGGACGTTCTGATTATTTTAATCAAATAGATTTCATTTTGGGGAGACAGGAGTTTTTTCAACTCAGAGAAAAATTTTCAGGTATTTTATATACTCATATACCCCAGAAAATAACCAGTAACATATTCATAAATACCACACTGATTCGAGAATAATTTTCCATGTTAGCACCAATGTCCCATAGAGTATATTAATGTAATAGAGGCCTTAATAAGGAGAAATGACAGAAAAATGTTTAATCTGACATTGTTACTTGATACATTAATTAAATCTCAGATATCATAGACCCAAGAAGACAGAAACATAGCATCTGAACTTTTTGTCCAAAAAATAAAAAAGTTCTGCTGAGGGTATAGGTTTCAAAGTACTATTCTTGCCTAAAATCGGTTCCTCTGGCCTAGATTTATGATCCCAACAACAATCGGTATGAAGTTCCAGTTTCCTCTGAGCGTACCCACGGTGCCATCCTAGCACCCCTGGTCGACTCTATGATGTCCTCATTAAGAAGAATCCATTTGGGATTGGAAATTCGCGCAAGAATTACAGGCACTATAATGTGAGTGGCTAGTGTGACTCTGAGTTGATGTCTACCTGTGCCTTTGCTGCCAGGTCCATGGGTATGGATGTATCCTGATTCCAAGCATCACATTGTCCACTTCCAGATCCATGGATGAGTTATTTCCTTCAGGCCTGTTCTCTTAGGGAAATCTTTAGCATTCTGGAAATAATTACTGAGGCAGTTGAGTGTGCCTGAGTATTCATCCAACAAATGTTTATGGGGTGTCTTGTCTAAAGAGTGCTGCTCATATGGGCAATGAGGTTATCTTCTCATGACAACCAATAATAAGTAAATATCACTTTGAGTGCTATGTAGAAAATGCACTGAGGGGTGCAAGGGTGGAAGGTGGTGCTGGTGTGGGGTGTACCCAGCTGTGATGGTGAGGAGTGCCTGGCTTTTTATTGCCAGAGAAGACCACTGAAAGGAAGAAGTGACAATGGGAAACAGATGAATGAAGAATAACTCCTGGGCTTTTAGTGAGGATTTCTATGATATTTTAATCAAACTGGGTATCTGTTTTGTTTTGGAGATGAACAGGTTCTGGATAAAAATCATGCATTTGTTGTCCTTGAAAAGTCAGCTGCTGGAAGCAGAGAGAAAAGCCCATTTTCTGTTTCAAATCTGCCTTTTTGTGTTTCAGTTGGGACTCTCAGCTCCTTGGCTTCACCTTCAATGACATGTTTATCCATCCTCCACCCTCCTTGCCTCCAAGTACCTCTGGCTTCAGAAGGAAACTGAGCACACATCCTACAGGAGAGACTTGGAGTGGCACACTTGGGGGATGTTCTCCCGAGACCAGCCCCCAGGGGTAAGGACAGAGCATTTGGGATCTGTGTCTGCTTCTCTCCTCACACTACTCAGGCTTCGGGCTTCATCTTCCCAAACTCCACTTGGTCCCCTCATTCTGGTTTTTAGTGAGTGGGCCAATTCCTCCCAGGCTCCTTTGTTTCATGTGTTTAATTGATTTCATGGAGAAAACTAGACCCATCTTAGCAAACACATTTTTTGTTGAAGTTTCTTTCTCAGGCATGATGTCATAAGCTCCTACTACCAACCTTCTCCCCATGACTCCCCAGTACAAGAAGAATTCCTCACGGTGTCCACCCCTACTACATGGGGTTGGAGGAGGATAGCAGTGCCCATGGAGTGTTCTGCTGAACAGCAATGCCATGGGTAAGGTGATCCAGCAAATCCCCTTATTTTAGGGGGCTACCAATCATGCTTGAGTCAGTTTAGAATGTGTTTAACCTAACTCTTCCTTGAAGTGAAAATTTTCATTTACGGGCATTTGGTGTTTATTTTTTTCTTTGTGTTTAGCCTTTCTGTTTATTTCAGTATAGGATCATGTGATAAGAGGATTGCTTGAAAAACTCTTATTTTGGTAAAAATCACATAAGAAAGGATAGTACCCGCTGGGTCAAATATCCTGGAGATCAGCTCATGGGGAGCCAGTTATATAGTGAATTAGGGGTAAAACTATGGGTCAGAGAAGTTAGTCCGGAGTATATGAGGGGTTTATGGTACATTGAAAAATTACCTGCCAGGTACTGTATTTGCTATCTGGGTAACAGGATTCCTACCCCAAACCTCAGCATCATGCAATATTCCCATGTAACAAATGTGAACGTGTATCTCTTTATCCAAAATAAAAGTTGAAATGTAAAAAAATAAGTTATAAGAAGAGTGACAAAATATAGTAAAGTACCCCAAAGAGAATCAAACCCAGGAATAGGACCTGTAGACTTCCACTGATCTTCTTCAGTTCTGTGTGAGTGTGATAGAAAATGCCTGCTCTTACCACTCTGTGATAGGGAGGGTGCAGGAAGATGGGGAATGTGTGGATTTCAGGGTGATTACGTGATGTGGAAGGTTTCCATCTGGGTTGGCATTTTTCTTCATTTTCAGATGTGACGTTCCAGCCCCTGCCTGCCTTGACATACCGTACCACAGGGGGAGTTCTGGACTTTTATGTGTTCTTGGGAGAAAACTCCAGAGCTTGTCACCCAGCAGTACACTGGGGTAGGAAGAAATCAGGTGTTTATCAAGCACTTATACAGCACATTCTGGGTGCCAGAGCCCACATCCATTAGTATAACTCTCAGATGATAACTGGAATTATTGGTCTTTCTTGGAGAGAGATTATAGAATAAGAAAAAATAAATACATTCTGATTATCATTAAATGTATAGCCTCTGTAAGCATTGCAGAAGAGCAGAAGTTATAGTGGTACTAGTGATGGTGATGGTAGTGATAGTGTGGTGGTGGTGGTGTTTGTGGTTATGGTGTTGGTGATGGTGATGATGGCAGTAGGGCTGATGTAAGGTGGGGATAGTGATGTGGGAATGGTGATAATGATGTGGTGGTAATGGTATGGTAGTGATGGTGATGGTATTGATAGTGGTGGTAGTGGTGGTGATATGGGTGTATTGGTGATAATGTGGTGATAGTGACAAGGGTGGGGAGTGAGCATAGTGTTTGTGTAGTGATGGTGATAATGGTGGTGGTTATGGTGGTGGTGGTGACAGTGGGGTGGTGTGAGGAGTGTGATGTTAGTGATAGTGGTTGTGATGATAGTGGTGATGTTGGGGATGGTGGTGGGGGTGGTAGTAGGTTGGTCGTGATGGTAGTGAAGGGGGTAATGAAATAAAGGTAATGATAGTGGTGGGGGCACAGTAATGCTGCTGGTGGTGATGGTGAAAATAGTGATGATGTTGGCAGTGATGATGGTGATGGTGACCACGACCATGGTGGTTGTGTAGCAACAGCAGACGCTTATTGTACTACCAAGTGCATCACTGATTTATCACTTGCTGCATGTTAGAGCACTTCACCCGTATTAACTCATTCATGCCTCACAGGAATGCTGTGAAGCAGATGCTATTATTATCCTTTATTTACAGATGAAGAAACTGAAGCACTAAGAGTTTATTTAATTTTTGCCTAAGATCACACAGCTAGGAGCTGGAGGAGCTTGTACTAAGCCAGGCATTTGTCTCGATTCTGGCTTCTGAATGAACTACCTACAGTGTCTCTAGGAACAGAGTAACATCAGATTTTCCATAATGTTTAGGAAGAGGCTTAAGTCTAGCAAGAAAGCTTTTCAGTTGTCTAGATTGGGCATCGAAAAATATTCTTATTACTTGATGTAAAACTTTAATCTGGTGTCTCTTTTCTGAGGACTAATATTTTCTGTCTATTTTCTAGTTGATTGGCCGGCCTGTGATGGTACCTTACTGGTCTTTGGGTTTCCAGCTGTGTCGCTATGGATACCAGAACGACTCTGAGATTGCCAGCTTGTATGATGAGATGGTGGCCGCCCAGATCCCTTATGTGAGTTCTCAGTCATGGCTCTGGAGTTTCATAAGTAACCCAGGTGCCTCTGTGTCTGGGTTCATTTATCTAATGTTTGTGGGATTCTATAGAGATAAAACGTTATTTTTCAGACAATATCACAGTTAGCCTCACCCCAGCACAGTAATACAGATAAGGGTGCTTGTTTCCATCTTCTAGAGGTGGTAGCTCAGGACTCACCGTGATTTCCCAGAGAGGGGGATAGGCTGGCTCCAGGGCTCTTTCTGATATCTCATGCTTTCTTCCGTTTCTTTCACATGATTTCAAAACATTTGTCAAAACGTCCTTGGTTCCATAAGAATAAATGATATCCCACAGTTCTTTTACTTAATTCTTGAAAAGACTAACCACAAATTGATCAGACAATTGTATATGTGAATACAACCTCAGTTCCTGCATCAGCTCTGAGCTAATAACTGATGGATTACACAGATCCTGGGATGAGTTTCCAGAGGACATACAGATGGAAATAAACCTTATCCTTCAGGAGAGGACAGGAGCGGACCCAGTCATCAGACAATGATCCCATGAACCATCCCACATTTAATTTTATCCCACTTTTCCATTGTTTACAATTGTTCCATTAGTGGAACATAGTGTTTCCATTAGTGAATAGTGAAATGCAATATTACAGTCTCAGGAAGAATGTTGTGTATGATTACCCTCAAGATTCTGTATTCCAAAGCAACTATACATCTTTACTTTGTTTTGTAGTAGATTTACCACTAGCCCTGGATAATTAACGGTATTTTCCTCAACGTGAACCACTGATACCAGGGGCAGCCTCTTGGGAAGGTCTGTCACAGTCACACCTGATGTGGGCAATTTACAAAGCACTTTCCAAACCAGTGTTTTCTTATCCTCAGAATAGCCATGCTAGAGACACATTCTCATCCTATCTTATGCTGACTTCGATTTTTTTCTATCTTATCACTGAACATTCTTAAAAATTAAGTGAATTTCCCAACACCTGTACCTAACGACTGGCAGGCTGGGATTTGGCACAAGAAGCTGTCTGGAATTCCACCATGTGTAGTGGAGGGTTGTTCTCCTGTAAAGCTTGAGCGTGTACAGCAGCAGCCCTCAGCTCCCGTGTCCTCCACATGGGGCGTGCAGTACTCAGACATCGACTACATGGAGCGGCAGCTGGACTTCACCCTCAGCCCCAAGTTTGCTGGGTTTCCAGCTCTGATCAACCGCATGAAGGCTGATGGGATCACGGGTCATCCTCATTCTGGTTAGTCCTGATGTGAATGTGTGTGGTCTGTTTGGGAGCAGGTATGGGCTTTGGTGGAGAAAGAGTTATACTTTATTTCCGTTGCAAGTAGATAAATTGAAGTGCAGTAAGAATTCTGTATTTCCCAGGACTCACAGAAAGTCTACAGTTCAGGTAGAAGCCAGAGAGTTCACCCTGGAGGAGTTTTCCTTTATTCTGTTTCACCTCATTCTCTGGCTTTGGTTTTCCCAACTGACTTATGCTTTGATTTCAGGATCCAGCTATTTCTGGCTTATTAAGAGACACAGCCCTATCCTGCCTTCACTCGGGGCTTGGGGATGACATCTTCATCAAATACCCAAACGGTGGAGACATTGTCAGGGAAAGGTATAATCCTAAGGAATGATCCACTAGTCCTAACCTGTGGAGTGGAGTCACGGTTAGGGGGTCACGCCTGTGTATGTTATTTTGGCATTTTCTATTTGGGCTCTGAGGTCAAGCCTCCTTTTTCTCAAACAATATTTGTTGATACAATTAATGAGTTTTAAAATAATGTAACATGTTACGAATTCACTTTCTTTTATGTCAATCCTACATGATAGTCAAAGTATCATTGCTCCTAGAACATGGTTTATATAACAATTTCTTCAGAAATCCTATGTAAGGAAACTGTCTGGAAGTGCATTGCTACTGAGCGTGTTTTCTCTCCATAGGTCTGGCCCGATTTTCCTGGTGTTGTTGTGAATGAATCTCTAGACTGGGACAGTCAAGTGGAGGTAAAAGGATCTTTGTAAATTTGGGTGGAGTCAGGGTTTCTAGGCAGGGGCAGCTGTTCCTGGGATTCTGGACATGTCTGTACCGTGGACATGGGCTTGACAAGGGAGAAACCCTTAGGGCGTGTGTCTTGGGTGTCCTCTGTGTGTGCCTATTACCTTATATGGAGTAATACTTTACTGTCCACTGGGATGTAGATATGTATTATTATCCTTGGGATTCAAGACCGGAGAGCTTAAATTATTTTTCCCCAGTTTTATGAGACAGAGTGGTGATTTCAATTCCAAGGCTGTCAGATTCCGAAAGGCCAGAAATTTCCACTGGGCGGTAACTCCTGGAAGTGCTATCTTTTCCCTGAACTGGCATACTATCTGTTGTTGCCATGGTTATCCCTTTCTAACAGTCTTTAACCTGGAGAGACTGACTAGGTCTTTCTTTGTATATTTTTCTTTTTTTCCCCATGAACAGGTTTCTCCATCTTCACACTTATAAGTCCTCCTCTGAGCCCAATTCTTCCTTGGATTTCTCAACTTTGCTTTTACCTCTCAGTTTCCAACCTTATTGTAAAACCTGCTCTCTCCCATGGACGGTTTGTTGCTTATAATGGATCCAGGTAGCCCATGCTTCTGGACCTGAATTTTTGTCCAGATTCACTAAGTATTTCTTGCTTGAATGAATACATGGTTTCCATACAAGGCTAGAAACCTACAGCCCCATCCTCTGGCCAAGATGTGTGTCTCCTGAACTGAGGCAGCCTGTGTGCTTTACTATCAATTTTTGTGACAGTTCCCACAGGCAGGATTGTCAGGGTGGGGCCGAGGACTTCTGGAGAATATTCTGTACCCTACCTCTTGAGCTGTTTCAATAATGGTTATTCTATATGGGCAGGAATTGTATGGGGCATGTGTAGCCATAATGTGACCCCCACAGGAGGCTGAGGAGACAAGGAAAGACCTCTTCTCTAGGACATCTGCCAAGGAATTGAAGGGACAAAGCTGTCCTGTGCAGTCAGCAATGTGGTATATGTTGTGGTGTCTAGATACTCTCTCAGGATCAAGTGTTAATCAGAGAAATATCCATATTGTGGAAACAAATCTCAACAGCTGTAAATTCAGTTAGCAGCCACTCAGAAGCCAGGGCGGAGCCTCTTTGGGGTTCTTTCTACATAATGAAAGATTGCTTAGCCCACGGAGGGAGGTGCAGGAGAAACACTCATCGCCAGGAACGTGACTGGCAAGAGTTAGGCCAAATATTCATGCCTTATCCAGATAAACTGGTTTTCAGGGTAAGTGGTGAGTCCTAGAGGGAAAGACATATATTAGATACAACCCCAAAATCTGGAGCCTGAGGCTGGGACCTTGGACAGCTCCAACAGCGTAGTGAGACCTTGACAGCTCCAACAGGACAGCTCCAACAGGGTAGTGAGTACTGCAAGCCTGTGATGCCTACTTCTCTGTTGTCAGTCTCTGACTTCCTGGATCCCAGAGCCAGTTGGCAGCAGTTGTTCTTTTCAATTTAAAATGAGATACATTTGGGATCAGGTTGCTTGGGTATAGGACTCCATGTCTTTATTTTCTGTTGGTAAATTCAGTAAAACAATACAAACAAAACAGAAGCTGGGGCAGGTTTTGAAGATTGACAAGAATGAGTCAGACTCAGTTCAAGGTATTTTCCTTTTATTTAGTACTGAACAAGAGTATCTATGTCTATCTATCCATCTCTCTAACTTCTATCTCTAACTATCATCTCTATGTATATGTTTGTATATGTATATTTATGTATCTATTTTCTATCTGTTTATCTAACATCTTTCTGTATATGACTCTATCATCTGTCTTTCTAGTCTATTATCTATCTGCCTATCTTTCTATATTTACCTATCTATCCATACACCCACTCTATCTAATCTATCTATATATCAATCAATCCATCCACCCACTCTAATCTATTTATCTATCATCTATCTCTCTCTATCTATACCTCATTCTGGCCTGTTATCTAACTGCCTATATCTATCTTTCTATCTATCTAACATCTTTTTGTATCCCTCTCTATTTTCTGTCTATCCATCTATCATCTATCTCTATCAATTTATCCCTCACCTTTCCATCTGTCTATCCACTGTATCAATCTATCTATCTATCTATCTATCTATCTATCTATCTATCTATCTAATCTATAAGTATCTATCCATTTACCTACTATATCCACTCTATATCTGTCTATCTATCTATCATCTATCAGGTAAGTATTCAAAGGGAAAGACCTAGCTTTCTGTCCCTCTCATCACTTCTCACAGTGAATAACTTGAAGCTTAGGGGTCCAAGCAGCCCCACATGGACACGGGAACCTGCCCAGCCAGAAGTTCTGGTCATTGGCTTCCTGACTTTATCACAGTTCAGCAGCCAGTAGGGAGCAACCTGCCACCTTGAGGCCATTTGGAAATCTGAGGGCAGTATTGGTTATCACAGGGATACCAGGTGGCATTTAATGGGCAGTAGGCGGGGATGCCGATGGCTCTGATTTCAGAAATTCTCCACAAAAAATCTTATGCCTCAAATTCCAGTTGGGTTTCTGATAAGAAACATTCATTAGGGGATTCACATAATCTTTTAGGTAACTCATAAGAGATTATTGGTAGATAGAATAATTGTAACTGTTAGGTTGCTGCACAGGTAATATTTGCATTGCCACAATTCCAAAACCACAATTACCTTTGCATCAATCTAATATTTATATTATTAATAGTGAGACCCACTTGACGAGGCTGGTGAGGGTGAAGCCACTGATGTCAGAGCCTGGCGCCGTTGGGCAAGAAAGCAACCCAAGAAGCCTATGAAAACAGATTTCTGGAGTTCAAGCTCCAATGTTTAATTCAATAAGTCTGTGATGGGATCTATGAATTGCGATCTGTAGTATGTGATGTGCTACAAAAAGACTGCTAGGTGATCCTGAGGCCGGTGTGTGAGTGGGTACATCACTGTTTGAAGACTGGAGAAAGTGAAGGCAGAAGCCACAAGGCGAGACTTGAATGGCAGGCAGGCAAAGCCAGCACCTTGGAAGCAGCAGAGCATTTTATGAAGTTAAGAAAGGGAGTCGTCGAGCAGTACTTAGGAAGTTCATATGTCGTGGCTGGCCAGGTTCCCCACGTGTACCCAGTATGGGATACAATTCTGACTCAGATGTGGCTGATACTCTCTTTATTGTAATTCCCATGCCCACCCATCCCATTGTTTCTAACCCTGCCTGATCTGGAGCTCTCTGTTTCTGGTGAAAAGTTCTCTTTATTGAGTTTCCTGGTTTCTACCTCCATTTCCTCACAAAGAGCATCCCTGGCAAACCCACTTCTCAAGATTCTGTGTGTGTGAGCCGCTGTCTTCCTCACATCATACGACAGCAGATCCATGCAGGCTGATCTCTGCTTTTCTTGTTTTCTTGTGTTCCTTTTCTTGCTATATGTAGATATGTGGGTTCCTACCTACCTTTTATCTGTGGTGTATAGAACTGGAGCTCCCCTAGCCCAAGTCCTCTTTCTGTTACCTCCCCCACCCTCTCTACAAGCATTCTTTAGCTCTTTAACTCTTACTGTGGTGTGATTAGCATAGAGGAGGCTAGTTACTGAGACATACAAAGGACCATGTATTCCGTAACAAACAACATGAGTATATTAAAATGTATAGATATTTATTTGCTGCTTCTAAGTGGTGTAGTCCACTAGTAAACACTGAGTATTTTATGCCAGGTTCTAAGCTGAACATTGTGGGCAATATAAATATGTCAGAAGAATATAAAACAAACTTCCTACTCTCAAAAATCTACAATGTAGTTAAAAACTTGTATCTTGAATCTGTCTTTCAGATAAGTGAGAACCTGCTTTTATTATTTGAGGGAAGAGGAAAATAAGGGGAAGTCAATGCATTCTCTTTAAGTCCTCTCAATTTATGCTCCAACAGCCGTAGTTGTCATGTGATTCTGAAATTGTAGAAAACACTGAGGCATACTGGTCGAATATCCTGAAATGTAATCTTTTCCTTCCTCCCTCTCTCAGTGGGAATGACATAGGAGGGACTCCTGGGTGTTTCTTCCTAACCTATTACCATGCATCTCATGTCTGCAGTCTCTCCCTGGCTTTGTGTTTGAGGAGTGCTTAGGAAATGTAGGACTGACGTTGAGGGTTGGGCATTGAATGCATGAGGTCACTAGTTCAGGTCATTGATTGTCGTCAACCATGTGTATATGAAGAGAACAGTTTTTGGATGTTTTCCAAATGCTGGGAAAGATTAATGCAAGTGCACTAATTTCTCTTCTCATTCTACATTTCTCTAATTAGTTAATAACATTATTTAGGCCCTGTTCAGGCCGTCTGTCACCATGCAGTTCAAGTATCTGTGTGAGTTACATTCTCAGTAGGTGTCTGTTTGCTGTCTTATATGTTTGTGTGGGACATACAAATTATATTTATATTTTACAGCTATATCGAGCTTACGTGGCCTTCCCAGACTTTTTCCGTAATTCAACTGCCAAGTGGTGGAGAGGAAATAGAAGAACTGTACAACAATCCACAGAATCAGAGAGAGGAGCTTGAAGTTTGATGGTCTGTGGTTGTAAGTGTGTGTGTGTGTGTGTGTGTACCTGTGGCACTTGTCTATCTTTGTGTGCCTAAGTATAGGTACCACTGACCTTCAGTCAAGAGGATAGTCATTGTCCAAGGAAGCCTGTGGACATATCAGACACTTCCTCCTCTCAGGAGGGGAACAGCCCTGATAGACCTTGTACTGGACTTTATGCTCCTACTGTAAAACCTGTCAGGCCGGACCAGGTGTGGTGGTTTACGCCTGTAATCCCAGTAATTTGGGAGGCTGAGGTGAAGCCGGTTCACCTGAGTTGGGAGTTTGAGACTAGCCTGACCAACATGGAGAAACCCTGTCTCTACTAAAAATACAAAATTAGTTAGGTGTGGTGGGGCATGCCTATAATCCCAGCTACTTGGGAAGCTGAGGCAGGAGAATTGCTTGAACGTAGGAGGCAGGGGTTGTGGTGAGTCAAGATCGTACATGTGCACTCAAGCCTGGGAAACAAGTGAAACGCCATCTCAAAAAATGGAAAAAAAAAAAATCCTAGGAAGCAATTTACTAGGAATTTCTTGGAAATTTGATTGCCTCACAGCCTGGGAAGGGTTTATTTCTTGAAACCTCTAGCCAGTCATTCTGTAGGAGTGAATTAATCTTTCCAGCCAGTTCTCACCAGGATTTGATGAAGTTCCCAGGGCTGGCATTTACAGGGATTACCGGATGTTGAACAATTTATTCACTGCTTCCTTGGCTGAGATTGGCCGGACATAATTATCTTAAAGTGATGTATGTGTGTGTTTGGCATTTCTAGGATATGAATGAACCATCAAGCTTCGTGAATGGGGCAGTTTCTCCAGGCTGCAGGGACACCTCTCTGAACCGCCCTCCCTACATGCCATGTAAGAAGCCTTGGCCTCCTTGACTGGCAGAGCTAGGACTGGAAGGATGGCCACTGGAGGAGCCCAGAAGCCAGGGGTGTGCCTGCGCAGCTCAGGGCACATCCTGTTAGCTGCTGTAGTTTTACTGAGACCAGAGACAAAAGCTCTTCACATGCTTTACCCAGCCAGCCACGTGCAAGTGACTAGACTCATTGAACAAATTTCTTGGGAATTTGTCCAGCTTCTTAGCAGTGCTCATGCCACAAAGGAGTTCTCACAGCTAGGTTTCTTGGTTTTTAGAAACTGTGGCAGATTCCATCACAGAGAATTTGTGTCATCAATGGTGAAATTACTGGCTTCCCCTTGTCATGTAGTGGGTGGACTTGAGGAGTTATGTGATTTCATATCTTGGCTCGAAATTTTTCTCTCTAGGAGTTTTGTGACTTTTCACAGATTATGCAATATTTCCAAATCTCAGTTGGCTAAACTGCAGACAGATAATGATGTCTTCTGTAGAATTATGGGCATAATTGGCAAGTCAAAGAAAGCCTAAATCAGTACCTGTCATGTAGTGACAGCTGTACATTCTTCCTTACACCTCTACTTTCTTCAGTGAACTTGATGTTGGAAACACTGCAGGTGCCATAGCGGCTCAGAGCTGAGGTCGCTGTGCTCATGTCTCTGGGAAGATGGAAGTGACACAGGCAGGGCTCAAGTTAGTCTTAAGATCCAGTGTCCAATCCATTGAGGAGAGGTCAGGGATAAACAGAATCAGGGCTGGATTTCACCTCACCAGTTCTTCTCCTCCTTTGGAGTCCAGGGACAGGGGCCTGGTAGCAAGACCCTGTGCATGGAGAATCAGCAGATCCTCCCAGACGGCTCCCTGGTGCAGCACTACAAACGTGCACAGCCTATGCGGGTGGTCCCAGACCAGACCCACATGCAGTGAGTCTCTCCTTTTCCAGCTGTCACAACCCGGAGGGATTGCCAGGGACTGACAGAGCCACCCTAGTTTTCTTTAATTCCCATTCTAAGGGTTAAGAAGATTCTCATGACAACTGGGTAATGATTCTTATTAAACAAATGCTCATTGACGTGGAGCCAGGCCCTGTGATTAAAAGGAGGGTGACAGATTTAAATAAGACATGGTCCACAGTGAAAAACTTAGTGATCCTGGTGGGAGCGACACATAGAACACCATAATGATCACACAGGGCAGCCGGTGCAATAGTTTTAGTTACAGGAGGTGAAAGGAACACAGAGACTGGGCATCGCTCCCCTTTATTTCAAAAGTGAATCATATTTTGAGATTTTTTATTTTTGTGCATTCTTGGTGGAGGGTAACTGGTATTCTACGAAATTAACACAGTCCCCTTTGCAAGCTCAACGAATGGTATGAATTCTTCTGGAGACAGCCTTATAAGTCTTCACTGTGTTCCTCATAAATATAGAAAACTACGTATTGAGGAAATCAATAGCAAGATTTAGTAAAACCTTACTATTTTTGGCCACTCCAGTGGTGCTGCAGTGAAGTTCTTTGTAAAGCACTGTGAGAGCACGTGACTCGTTATCTCCATTATCTGGGGTCAGTGGGGCCCCCATTGCAGCTCAGATTCCCATGTTCCCTCCAATCACGCAGCAAACGTTGACTAGGCTCAAGGGCCCTGGGAGCAGAAGCTCTATGGCCTTTGCTCCCTGACCATGCCCTCAGTTCACCTCCCTGTTGCCCTCCAGCAGAGCCATGCAGGAGGTGACGGGACATGTAGTCGTCATCAGCCGCTCCACATTTCCCTCTTCTGGCCGCTGGGCAGGACATTGGCTGGGGAGACAGCACGGCGTGGGATCAGCTGAAGAAATCTATCATTGGTGCGTGGCTCCTTCCCAGGGCCTGTGCCGGTAGAGCAGGGAGTTGGGATCCTTGGGGAAGGGTGAGGGGAGGCGGGTGGTGAGCCTGGTGTGACATAACAATGCTTCTCATTGCAGGCATGATGGAGTTCAGCCTCTTGACATATCCTATGTGAGTGTCCTTGGGATCCTCCTAAGCACCAAGAAGGTGGGGACATCTTTCAGAAAACATCATCAGGCTTGTTTGTTTCTCTTGTTTCAGGCAGAGCAGATATCTGTAGGTTCTTTCAAGATGCTGAATATGAGATGTGTGTTCGCTGGATGCAGCTGGGGGCCTTTTACCCCTTCTCAAGAAACCACAACACCATTGGGACCAGGGTAGGACAGTGGCTTCTGTCTCAGTGTTGTGTCACTAGAAATACAATCTCCATTTCTGAGCTAAAATTAACGCAGTTTGTATTTCTTCAGGATATTTTTTAAAAAAATTGGCATTTTTTGTTTTTTTTTGGGGGGGAGTGGGGACAGGTACTCTTTGTCCAAACTGAATCGTGTCGTGTCCCAATCATGGCTGACTGCAGCCTCAACCTCTGGGTCTAAAGCGATTGTCCCACCTCAGCCATTTGAGTAGCTGGGACTACAGGCACCTTTCAACGTGCCCACCTAATTTTGCATTTTTTGTAGAGGTGGGATCTTGCCATATTTCCCAAGCTAGTGTCTGACTCCTGGGCTCAAGTGATCCACTCGACTCAGCCTCCGAAAGTGTTGAATTTACAGGCATGACCCAGTGCACCCTTAAAAATTGTAACAACCTGGTGTCTCAATGAACCATATCCCTCAGTGTTCTTCAGATTTTTTTTTTTCCTGTATTTTAGGCAAAATTGTACCAAAAAGAACGTCTTACAGTGAGATTTTATCAGCTGTCCTAGGAAACTTCCATGATTCTTTCAGTCTGTTAAGAGTATTCTGAGCCTCATGTATAGTTTTCTTTTGTTTAGCTCTGAGTGATCTTCAGTTGGAATATGCCTTCAGTGACCTTCTTAAATCCCCTAGGCAGAGGCATGTCCCAATACTGTTCTCACTTTCTCCTTTAGAGACAAGACCCTGTGTCCTGGGATGCTGCTTTTGTGAACATTTCCAGAAATGTCCTGCAGACCAGATACACCCTGTTGCCATATCTGTATACCTTGATGTATAAGGCCCACACGGAGGGCGTCACTGTTGTGCGGCCTCTGCTTCATGAGTGAGTGTCCAGCAGGGATCCTGATGACTAATGAAGACTTATTGCATTGTATATGGAGGGAGTTGATATACACAATTCTTCCAAATGAAAGACATGCTTGCCTTTTGACATGAACTCCTGAGGCGCAGACCATACTTTATTACTCTCTTTAGCACAGTGTTATACGTACCATAGGTCATGAAAAAAAGGCTATTTATTGAATGTACAAAATTGAAATGATGCCATACAGCATAGAATAGTTTCATTCTCATTTGGCTGTGCAAAGACCTATCTATCTTTTATAGCAGTTTGGTTATATGGACCCAAGTCACAAAAGAAGGATTTCAGCCAGAGATTTGGGGGAGGAGTGCCATCCTTACATTTAAAATGTGAAAGGGTTAAGAAATGCGATAATAGTTTACAGGAGAGAACACATCTACATCCCAGCATTTCTGAAGTTTGAGGCACATCCCATTAGGGGAGAGCAGGCTGGTGCTCCTGATGAAGCTAGGCCTAGGGAAAAGCAAGAACGGCTTAGGGGCAGCTGGTTTCCGACTTGAGTCTGAACTTGAGAGCTTCTTCCAAGTCTCTGGCTGGGGCTCTGTTGGGCTCTGTTGGTCTGTATTTTCCCTTTCAGGTTTGTCAGACCAGGTGACATGGGACATAGACAGTCAGTTCCTGCTGGGCTAGCCTTCTATCAGCCCTGTCCCTGGTAGCGTGGTATAGGCCTCCCGATGGGGGAGGATCCCAGCTTTGAGGCATGGGAAAAGGGCCAGGAGAGAGGCCTGAGCTGGTGGGAGTCGTAAGACATGGTTTCTTATTCTCCTGTGTCTCTTCCTCTCCTTCTGAGCTGAAGTCCATCACTTAGGTGTTCTGGGCCTCAGCTCCTTCATCTTTGAAATAAGCCTTACAATTCTGGTTCATAGGATGATCAAGAAGGAAACACCTGCGAAACATTATATTCAATGACACAATCATTTCTTCATTAACTAATATAAGGAATAGAAGGTCAGATGGGGGCAGTGTAAGTAAGAATTTATAAGAGTTCTCTAGCACTATTACAACTCTTCAAGAAGGATGCCAGCAATGTGTGTGCTTGTATTGCTGCTGGCTGCCTTCCCTTCCTGTGCAGGATTACCTCCCAGCAGTAAAAGCCATTTCTTTACTTCTATTGTTGATTAGGCTTCTGATTAAAATACCAGTGTGCCTCCCCCAGATTTGTTTTGTTTTTTTTTTTTAGACAGAGTCTCACTTTGTTGCCCAGGCTGGAGTGCAGTGGCGTGATCTTGGCTCAGTGTAACTTCCGCCACCCGGGTTCTAGTGATTCCCTTGCCTTAGCCTCTTGAGTAGCTGGGACTACAGGCACGTGCCACCATGCCTGGCTAATTTTTTTTTTTTGTATTATTAATAGAGACAGGGTTTCACTATGTTAGCCAGGGTGTTATCTGATATCCTGACCTCGTGATCTGCCACCCTCACACTCCCAAAGAGCTGATATTTCACGTGTGAGCCACCGCACCCGGCCCCAAAATCTTACTGTACCCACAAAATTTTCTTCTGCTGAGCACAACCTCAGTTGTTTGTCTTTTAAGAGAGGAAATGGGGTAAGTCTATGTTTATAAGCAAACAGTGATTTATTTTTTTCCCGAGAAGTCCTGGATACCAAGTGCTTTATGAAAGCCCTTGTTTTGGGTAGACAAATCTCGTTTAAAAAGAAAACGGGAAGAAGGTTGCCCCAGTCGCTAACCTCTCCAAATGTGAGGCAGATGGGTCCAAAGCCATCCTGATTATTTCACCTCTTTCCTAAGCAGTTTGATTTCTCTGTCCTGGAACATGGTGCCCACTGCCTCACCTTGTTTGTGTTTCATTTTAGAATGCCAGAAATGTCACTGCATATTTCCCTAGAGCCCGCTGAATGCGATTACTACACGGTAAGTTTTTTCTGAATGTTTATAGAACATGGGAAAATGGTAGAAGAACAAAGACTTTTATATCTGATGGACTTTAGGTCAAATGCTGGCTCTGTAACCCACCTGCTGTGTGGTCTTAGAGAAGCCACTTTAACCCTTGTAATCTCAGTTTTCTCACCTCCCAAGTGGGGTAAAACGACTTCACTCACAGAACCCTTGTGAAGTAGCCCACATAAAGCATCTCACTCTCAGGGTCTGGATTTTTGTGGAATATTCTCTTAGGTATTAGTTTTAATATTTCCTTATATCATACTGTTACCATGTTGTGTAAAGGCAGATGCTTAATAACATTTGAGATTGTGTTGCAAACTATAGTTTTTGTTGTTAATGTTTGTATCTTTGCCTGCTATAAGTTTGTAAGTATAGAGCCGTTTTTGTCTCTTTTTATTAAATATCTCCTTCCATCGCATAGATGCTCAAGAAAGGGTGATGCACATAATTACCTAAAGCCCCACAAGTGATTAGACAATGTGCAAAACACACACAGAAGGTGTGGGACCCAACCCTTATTAGTCTAAGCAGTGCAAGTACATTTAGAAATGAAGGCAGCAATGAAGAGCTCCTTGCTGCATAGTTTCGTGCTGATGCAACTCTAAATTCAACTGAAGTCAAGATTATTCAAGGCATTTCAGGTGGATGGATCTCTTACTGGAACTCCCGATAGTCAAATATCTGTTGAATCAGGCAGTGTGTTCTCACCCGTTATAAATTCTACCTAGCTTTCTGAGGAGAACATAGTTGAGGGCTGGCAATACAGCAAAGAGAGTAAGAAAGCAGGGGAAACAAGAAGCAGAGCATGTACTGGCCCCTTTCATCAAAGGGTATTGCAGTGAGATTAGGTGAAAACTGGAGAAGGATGTACAATTTTGTCCTTCTCTCTGTCTGTCAAGTCTCGCCACTGCCCCAGGCTCCCCTTCCTGATCCTAGTCTGGATCTGCCCTTAGGGTGGTAACATGTTAAGGCTCTGCTATGTGCTTCCCAGCCAGATCTTCCCTAGGAAGAAGTGGCCAGCTTTCTTTAAGTGAGACTGGCCTTTGTTCTGAGTATGCATGTTGAGTCTGCCATTCACTTACAGAAGATATCTTTGATTGAAGAGGAAAGACAAAAAGAAATCATGGAGCAAGCTGTTTAGAAATAGATGAAATTAGGTCAGGTGCATTGGTTCATACCTGTAATCGCAGCACTTTGGGAGGCCGAAATGGGCAGATCGCAAGATCAGGAGATTGGAACCATCCTAGCTAACATGGTGAAAGCCCATCTCTACAAAAAATACAAAAAATTAGCTGGGTGTGGTGGCATGCCTGTAGTCTCCAGCTACTCAGGAGGCTGAGACAAGACAATCGTTTTGAACCTGGGAGGCGAAGGTGCAGTGGTAAAGATTATGCCACTGCCCAGCGTGGGTGATGGAACGAGACTTTGTCTCAAAAAAAAAAAAAAAAAAAAAAAAAAGAAATAGTATTTTCATGTTTAATTTAAATGAAGATGAAACTCATAGTTAGAAAATTAATGAAGAAAGTGTCAGCTTGATTAATCTTCCCAAGTTTGAGTACCTATTACTCATTCTAGAGCACAACATTTGGCAAACTATGGCCCACAGTCCAAATCTGGTTGTTAGCTGATTTGCAAATAATGTTTATTGGAACACAGCCATGCCTTTTTGTTTGCTTGTTGTCAACAATAACTGCTTCTTACCTGTAAAGTAGCAGCTCTGAAATGAGAGGATTTTGCCAACCAGGGGACATTTGGCAGTGCCTGGGGATATTTTTGTTGGCACAACAGGGTGGGGAGTGAGGAGCGATGATGCTGACAACTGAGGATTCTGCTAAATTTCTAAAGGCACAGGATAGCCCCAACACCAGAGAATTGTATGGCCCTAAATCTCAATGTGCTGAGATTGAAAAGCCCTGCTCTTATTGAGAACATGTAGGATGGAAGGATGGTCCACTTGGTAGTTTTGATTCAGGTGAAGTGGCACCTCTTCCTGTCACACATCAGGCAGATGTAGTTTGTACAGTGGAAGCAAAGTCAAGAGACCCTAACAAGATATGATAGCAGCCTTGTCAGATTTCATGCAGCCCTGGGTGAATGCAGAATAGGTAATAGGAGGTATGCTGCGAATGGCGATGAGCAGGAATAAGTTCAGAGGGGAGGATGAGATGTCTGGCAGGATGCATCGTTCGAGAGGAGCCTGTTTCTCCTTGATCATCTCTTACCTTCTTCTGCCCACAGGGTGTGGATATTGATGCAAGAGGAGAGTGGGAGAGACCTTGCCAGCCTCTTGACCACATTAATCTTCATATTCGTAGGGCTACATCTGCCTGGCAAGAGCCTGCACTGAACACCCACTTAAGGTGAATGACAGGACTCAGGTTTTCCTTTACATGTCAGTTAGCTCAACAGTCTGTGAAGTCACAAAACGTAAGCATCCTCTCAAGCCATGCAATTTTACTCAAGACTTATTGTTCTTTGTTTGCTTGTTTGTGTGTTAATCTTTTAGGGCTCTATCTCTGACTCATTATTAACAACTCATTGAAGTCTAAGGTGAGATGATGGAGTCCAAAATCATTTTTAATCACATCTGAGATGGAAGTCAAATAAGCAACAAGTTCAACAGCTTTTCAGAAGCTGTTGTTTTGAACTAGTATCCAGTGGATTTTGGCAGACTATATTCATGTCCTTCCTTAAACCCGTTGAATTTCTTTTCAAAACATGCTAACAGCCAGGTGGTCAGCCTCCTTGGTTTACCAGAACTGTTACAATTTTGGTACCAGAAGTCTCCCCTCTTGGGTCTTCTCAAAAATTGAGCAAACCAGGTCAGTGATGCTCTCTGCATTGCGCCCTCAGTGTCCATCCTTGTTTCTTTTCTCTTGACTCCTTGTTCTCATTTTCTAGAGAGTTAGGATCCACTGCGCCACCCTCCTAGAATCTCAACTTCCTCTTTCTTTTCTCCTGCTAAGAGATTTCTTTCTTGTGATTCAAAAGTTGATTCAAAATTACCTCTGCAAACCTCAAAACTCTCTATGTCACTGAATTTTCCTTTATGTGAATTGATTCCAAATTATAGATTCCATCTGTACTAAAGAGATGCACATTTATACCTTCATGGCTTTAAAAGTATTAGCCTACTTGTTTTTAATAGACTAGGAGTTCTTTGAAGCAGAAACCTGTCTTTCCTTTTGAACCTCTCTTACTGCTTTAATTTTTCAAATTGTAGACTTTTTATGGTACTAATGGAAAATATTCCTAAATCTAATACCAGTTGGCTGTCTTTTTCTAACTGTTCACCTTCAAGCTGTTCTGTACACTGATACCAAACTGATTTTTCCAAAATGAAAATCTCAACTGGTGGCTCCCAGACTTGAAGTCCAAAGTCTTTCATTAATAAGGTATTCAAAACCAATCACAACCTGGTTCCAGGTTACCTTAACAGTTCTTATCTCCTGCCACACCTTCATGTACACTGAACCAGATATGCCAAAAAACTGGCTATTTCCCAAACATACCTATGCATTTTGCTGCATTTGGGATTTTGAATTTATCCTTTCCAACATCTTTGCCTGGTGTATTCTTAATGACCCAAATGAAACTTTACATTTTAGCAGCAAGAAATCTTTCCCTAATCTTTCAGCAGAGAAAGCACTGCCACTTCCAGGTTTCTGGTCATTTGTTATATACATATATATATATAGCTCCTTAGATGATTTTGTCTTTCTTCTTTAATAGTGTTAGCATTTCAATAGTA